GGGAGTGCCACCTCTTAAGGCACGGGGTTTGTCTGATGGTTAATTTTCTGTGTCAAACTGGGATAAGGGACATTCAGAGAGCTGATAAAATATTATTTCTGGGTGTGTCTTTGAGGACAGTCCAGAAGAAATTAGCGTTTGACTCAGTAGACGGGGTAAGAAGCCCCACCCTCACCAGAGTAGGGGTGCACCATCCACCCCTGAGGGCCTGAACAGAACAAATAGGCAGAGGAAGGGTGACTGCACTCTGCTCAGCTGAGACAGCGATCTCTGCCCTCTCCAGCACAGCTCCTGGTTCTTGGGCATGTAGACTCCAACTCATGTTTGTGAATCATGGAGCTTTTCTTCTTCTGTAATTGTGAGCTAATCCCTCGTAAAAACAAACAAATAGGCCAGGCACTGGTGGCCCACACCTGTAATCCCAGCTACTCAGGAGGCAGAGATCAGGAGGATTGCAGTTCGAAGCCACCCCCGGCAAATAGTTTTCGAGACCCTATCTCGAAAAAATCTACCACCCAAAGGGCTGGCAGAGTGGCTCAAGGTGTAGGTCCTGAGTTCACACCCTGCAAAACAAACAAACAAGCAAAACAAAACAAAAACACCTTTTTCTGGCTGGTGGAGTGGGTCAAGTGGTAAGAGCACATGCCTAGCAAGCGTGAGGCCCTGAGTTCAAACCCCAGTGCTGTCAAAAACAAATAAAAGCCCTCTTTCTACTTGCCGGCATACATCCTGTTGGGCCTGTTTCTCTGGGGAACCCTGCCTGCCTCAGTTAGGTCCCCAGATATGCTGGATGGCAGAAGGCACACTCAGACCTCACTCACACTTGGAGTTCCCTGCAGGAAGCCACCCCACGGCTCTGCAGATACCCATCTTTCTAATGCACCCAACTTAGAAGCTACAGAAATAAACTTAGAATGGAAAGAAATAAGGACAACCTCGGGTCCTTTCATGATTAGACATCCGACCACGTAACTCTAGGTGACCTTTGTGACAACCTGGCTTCACCCCTCACCCCCAAATCACACACCCCACCACTACCACCTGATCTTTGTTTCACAGGAAACAAAACTCAGTGCACGGTTTGGCTCCTGGTCACATAACAAGGGGAGCAGTTGGGACCCAGGACAGCCTCGTGCTCAGAGGAAAGGGGTGTCCCATGCCCTTTCTAGGCAAACCTGTTTTGATTCTGACATTTCCCTCCAAAGCCAAGTCTTTGGAATTCCTAGCTTGTCTGACTGACCACGTGGTTGTGAACAAGCCCCATTCTCAGAGGACAGACTTCCCTGGGGTTTCATTTTACTTGCTAGTGATTTCCTCCTTAAGACTCCATTTAAAATGTTTATTATTATTATTATTAATTACTATCATAGTATTGTTCGAAACTATTTTTAAGTGAGAGGAATCAGCAAGTAGGCTTTGAAAAAATGTGAGCATATTACACTGATGTGTATGACAAATATAAATTCTCCCCTCTTCTTCCCCAGCAGCCCTGGGGGAGGGACCCTGGGCCAGGGAGGAATCACTGCTGCTGGTAGAAAAAGAGCCCTCACTCTCACCTATACATTGTTCCCAAAGAAAGTCAACTTTGTGCCTCTTGGAGCTGCCATCCTGTTGTATTCCTAGCCCTGAAAAGTTCCTCCACCAGGGCGGATGTCCTGTTGTTCCAGGTGGTCCTTGGGGCTTGCAGCAGAGACAGCCACACCTCCACCAGGAGAACCCCGCCTGTGACACAGGCCACACGGGAGCTGCATCTGCTGGCTGACCCCAGCCCTTCCTTCCTGGAAGCCCTTCCTCTCTCCAACTCAGACCTGCCACGTGGCCTCACTCAAAGGCAAGCACTTCACATAGCAGCTAGGGGACAGGGCGGGGGTGGGGGGGGGGGGGGGAGCGGGGAGGAGAGGGCACACACTTCCCTTGGGGAAGATTAGATCTAAGAAGTAAGGTCATCCCGATGAGTCAAAATGAGCCCAGCATCCCTCAGAAAGTGCCTGTCTGCAGCCTAAAAGAAGCTGTTTTCAGGATGAAAAAGAGAAGGCTGGTTGAAGTCAGCAGGAAGTCATACAGGTTTGTCACTCCCTGGGTAACAGGATTTTAAAAGTTTAGATCAAATCAAATGAAACCGCTGAGTGGAATGCTGGAAAGGATACAAGGAAGTCTAAGGTGTTATGTCTCCCTTCCGGGAAAACCAGTCACGGACACTGCTGTCATTTACATACTAGTTACTTTATCTGGCATTCATCAGGCAGAAAAATCCAAAGAGATGTCCTGTCATGTTGAAGAAGTTCAGACTGTAGCCACCCAGTGCTAGTTCCCAAGTCTCCAGGACTGGCTCCTCTTGGCCTTCCACCTCCTTGAGGTCTTTGTCCTCACGGCCCCAGTACAGCTGCTGAGACTTGGGCCATTACACCGATGCTTCAGCCGTGGGGGAGCAGGCAGGCAATTGGAGGGGAGGCCCACTTCTTAAGGAATATCAGCTTCCAGAAGTGGCACGTCACTTGTGCTCAGGTCTCCTTATCCAGACAGAAGTGTGGTGGCACACAGCTTGAAGAAGACTGGGGAATACCATGTTTGTTCTGGGGGCATGTGCTTAGGTTCGGAACACGTGTTGGAAGAAGGGGACAAGGGACTAGGGTGATAAGCACTGGGATGTAGCATACAGCACACTACAATTCGCATGAGAGAGACATGGGTACGTGGCAGGCAGCTGGCTTCGGCGAGAAGCCTGGCTGTGCCCGGTCCGTGACACAGGTCTAACGTGGACTCCTGGGCTGGGCACTCCCATCACAGAGACGCCCAGTCCTTCTGTTTGAACACACCCATCCACAGGTGCTGGTTCCCTGCATGTCTTTCACCTTGATGGTTCTTCAGCTTGAATTTCAACTTGCTCTCAACATCCACCATGTAATAAATGCAGCAATCCTGATTGAGGACCTGTTCTGTACTGGGCAGACAGGACGTGGGGGGGTGACCAAGAATGGATTCTCTGTCCTGGCACTCCTAAATCCAGTAGCATCAGAATGGTGACAGATGGCAAACAAGTCACTACAATCCATGAGGTGTGTAGAGTCCAGCTGGACCTCAAGGGACGAGTGTGCTGTGTAGCAAGGGGCTGTTGCCCCTAGGGAGGGAGGGCAGGGGAGGCTGTGAGACAGGGATGCAGACAGGAAGGGGGAGGGGACTACAGCCATCAGGAGGAGTAGCTAAGGGACTGGGCCTTGTTCCCCAGGGTCACTGGCTCAAACATCTTGACCAATAGGCAATTTCCTGGCTCCATGGGGGCAGCTCCCCATGCATGGACTCCCTGAGTGTGCCCCAAGCCCTTGGGGGGGCCTGGAATGCATCATTCTGGAGACAGTCTGGGCCAAGGGGTGGGTATGACAGAGCAGAAGCGCCCTCTGAACAAACCAGGGGGCTCTGACTAGGCCACCTTACCACATGGAACTTTAGGCAGTAGGGAGCCCGCTAGTCTCCCTGAATGAGGCTGCCCTTTGTCCTGTCAACCTCCACTGCAATCTGGGCTCTCTTACTGCAAAGGTGGAGTGTGGCACCCCAAAAATCACTGCTGAGAGGAGGCCACCCCCACATAGGGGCGCTGAGCGGGTTTCTAGGTCCATGGCAAGGCAGGCCACATTCCAGGCCTGGCTGCACATCCCAGGGGCAGGTGACCTGGCTGTGTTCTACTGGCTTTTTCCATATTTACCCTGAACTCTCCTTCAAACAATCAAGAGGAAATAATGTCAGCCCCAGCTGGCCAGGATACACGTGGCTGCAGCTTTTTCCAGGGAGGGCTGCTGCACTGGGCGGTGGGGGGGGGGTCACGGGAAGGAAACCCAACCTGTGCCATCCAGGAAGCAATAATCCCACATCACTGCATGCACGCTGGCCAGTTCATCCTTCAGGCCCCAAAAGAGAGGCACGCAGGACTGTTCTTGCAGAAGCAAGCCATGAGTACACAGCAGGTCCCCTTGGGGTGTCCCCTCCATGCCCCAGCAAGCAACCTCCCAGAGGCCTGAGCCCAGGCTCCACAGCCTCCCTCACCCTAAGCCTGGGTGGCTTTGGATTCCCTCTCATTGAACCCTTGTTTTCTAGCCTGATTTATAGGGTCAGCCTCAATCAGCCTCACAGGATTGTTCCTTCCATTCCCCGAGAGTCCTCAGAGGTGCACCAAATACCACCTTGGCCTGTGGAGACAATCTGGACCCAGAAGGGGCTGGGAAGAGCAGAACCTGCCCCCATTGGGCCCCTAAAATGAATAAACCAAGGGGGCTGACTAGGGTTACCAGATCTTAAGTTTCCTATGGCTATTGTAATGAAGCACTATGAAGCGAGCACCTTAGAAATGCGTCAGTTTGTGGCTTTGGAAGCCAGAGACCAGGAATGGACAGGGCTGGGGTGCAAGGGAGGGATTGTCCCAAGCCTTGCCCAGCTTTGGTGCTTTGCTGGTGGTGTATCTGCCTTCGTGCCCATTGGGTGTCCTCCCTGTGCTCGTGTCTGTTTCCAAATTTCCCTGTAGAGGGTCACCAGCTGTACTGAATTGCAGTCCACCCTAATGACTGAGTTTTGATTTGAGTATCTCTGCCAAGACTGTGTCTCTAAGTAAGGTTACATTTGGAAGTACTAGGGGTTCAAACTTCAACATATGAATTTTTGTGGGAACACAGTTCAGTTCAGTCCACAGGTAAGGGGTTCCATGCAATAACTGAGAATACTTATAATAAAAAAAGATGTGTTTATCTGAAAATCAGACCTCACTAGGCATCTCCCCCCCGCAACATACACCCTACTTTAAGCAAATCCCACGCATGAAAACTTAGCTATTCCCTACAGAAAATGGGGAAGATTTTGCTTTATGAACCTAGTAATCACAGGACGTCTCTAAATAGCAAATTTCTCCAGAAGCATCAAAGCCTTATGGCACAGAGGAAGGCCAATGCTGTGTTTGTTCTAAATTTAGGGCTACAATAATGAGGGTCCATTTGTGGAGAGCAAGCATGGGACGCCCCTTCTGGGTATGGCCTCAGGATGTGTGGGACCAGGCCAGGGATTAGCTGGAGAGCAAAGGATGCCAGGACAGACCTGCCTCCAAGCCCATGGAGCATGTTCTGCAAGGCACGCCAATCTTTGCGAGCCACCTGCCCTCTCCCATCCTTTCCTCATCTGTTAAGTTGAGGCCTCTTGTCCCCTCCGAGTCCTCCTGCAGCACGGTGGGCAGCTTCTGGCCTGACCTTCAGAGCTGGAGACGCTTGACATCTGAAATTAGAGTAAGAGGATGAGTCTGTTGGAATCTGCAGCCAGGTGGCAGGGAGAAGCGGTAGGGACACAGAGATGTGGGCAGGTGCAGTAAGAGGTGCTCCGGGCAGGAGGGAGGCTACTGAGGAGGCCTATGTCTCCCCCATCCTTAACACAGAGGCTGAGGACGTGTGGGATAAGAGGCTGGCAGGCCCTGGGCTGGCCTGAACATGAGGGGCACCTGCCAGCTTGCCAGGCTTCCCACACCCACTAGCTCCACAGTCAGAAAGACCTGGGATTGGCTGGGACAGTTGGTGTTGGGAGTTTCATCTGGGAGACAGCCTGAGGACCCATGAAGACCATGGCCTTGAGGCCTGTGCTCCCCATCCTAGAGCTCCAGAAATGGTTGTGGTCAACATCCCACTGCGGATAATGGCAAGAGAGTGACTCAGACAGAAAGCATCAGATGTGGTTAAAATTCACCCGGGTGCTTTTATGTCACAGAGCTGTGCTCGCCACAGCTGTGGGCACTAAGTTGTGGTGTCTGTTTAATAGGTATGCTGCAGTGTGACTCAGCAGCAATTAGACAAGGCAGCAATTAGCAGGAGCAAGCAAAGGCTTACGGAGAACAGGGCCATGGCACCTACGTCTGAACAGGGAGATGGAGCTGCTTGCCGTTCACATCTGGCAGCCCAAGAAGCAGGGCCGAGTGCCACAGCCCAGTTCACGATGTGCAGCTCGCTACCTCTCCCTTCCCAGATCCACAAGGAGCTATGGGGAACAGCAGACACAATTCCCACCCCTAGAGGTGACAGGCAAGGAATGGTGAAGAAGGGGCTGATCCAGGTGGCAGGAGGCAGCGGGGACGGGCAGGCAGGGCTGGGGTCGCCATGAAGGGATCAGGATGGCAGCTAGATGCACGAGTGCCTGAGCAGAGCAAGGTGGGAACAGATGGTCTCTGGGGAGCTGGATGGGGACTGCCTGTCTTGCCCGGGCTTCAGCAACCACTGAACAGGCCCTGGTGCTCAGGACTCAAGGGCTTCAGTCGAGCAGTAGAGAAAAGACTGGGAAGCCCAGCCCAACAATGGGAGTGTCTAAGTCTTCTGGAATGTTCCCTTGGGAATGGAAGGAAGAGGCACCTCTTCAGAGACTGTTTTTCACGTGATCTTGTTTCCAAGCATTTCACGTTGTGCTGCAAAGAAGGTCTTGCGTTATTCAAATACAGTATGGTTTCAGTTTCGAGTGAGCAGTGTGGAGCAGACAGCCACAAGGGACCAGAACTCCCACCTCACAGAAAGCTGACATTGGTGGCCAGGGCATGGGCAGTCAGGGACACTGGTGTTCAGAGGCAGCCTCAGAAGTGAAAGCAGACCGTCTTTGCAGAAGGCATCCAGCACCCCAGCTCCTGCACCTTCCTGTTGGGAAGGCGGCTTCTGCCACGTGCCCTGGGTCTAGGGGCCCACTGGGGACTTGAGGGCTCTGTAAGGAGACTGTGGGACATAACTCCCACCTGTGCAGTCCTCTGGAAACACAGGAGAGATTCTGGACACTGGGGGCAGGGCAGCTGTCTTCAGCATCCACCTAAAATCCTTCCCAATGATACTGATGGTTCAGAGGGAGAACCCAGGTCACCAGCCCCACCTGCCCAGACCTGCTAACCCAGGCAGGACTTACCACAGCCAGCAAAGGACGCACAGCTTCTCAGATTTTGTTGAAATAAGAAAAGGTGAGCATCCTTTTGGCTGGCCAGGGTTCTGCTGCAGTGAGGAATCACTCTCTAGCTCACCGAGGAGGAGTAGAGAGATGTGATGTGATGTCTGCATGGTGCAGTCCTTACAGTGACACAACGAGGTGGACTTTGCATTACGTGTACTAGTGAGGCTACTACAAAGCTTCCTCGTGAGAGGACTGGAAGTCAGTGAGAGGAGGAAGGAATCCAGGTTGTGGGGTGGCTCTGCCCCAAGAAGTCATTTGGGGATTCAGATTCCCATCATCCCGTGGTCCTGCTATGTCCTACAGAGATGTCATTGTCTGCACAGGCCAAACCAGGTCACCAAGTTTGCAGTCCAGGTCTCAGAGGGGAAGGAGAGTGAGAATGAGCGAGCCATCGCTCTTCTATCTAGGGACTCAGACTCTGCCCCATCCTATTGGTGGACACTTGTCATGTCTGACCCCATGATGCAGCCTGGGGTTACGATGGGTGTCCAACTAAAACTAGGGGTGCTCCATTGTTCCACAGAATGAGAAAGGGCTCCGGGCAATTAGCTGTCACACATCTGGCAGCTGGCAGAGTGAGGTATTGTCACAAGAGTGGACTTCACCACTGGCCCCATAACCATCCCAACTCTGGCTCTAACTTTATCGACAGTTGGGACCAGCATTCTATCAGCCTCTGCTTCTGCAAAGTGGGAGCAATGGTATCTGCCCTGAGGGCTGCTGGGGGGTTCCATGTGTGTGAAGCACTGGCAGGGTGCCTGGAATATTCTGGGTGCTCCACAGTGACAGGACTTGATATCAAGCCTCACAATCTCCAATGGTAAGTCCAAATGAAAGAAGGGTGCACATTAACACAAAAGTACATGGGTGCCCCAGTGGGAAGTGTTTGTCGGCCTCAAGCAGAGTTTGGAAGACAACTGGGGGGCAGCCATGGATTGCCTGGGCTCAGTTAGTTCATGAACACTGTGAGCACATTACCTCACTTACCACATTGCTCCTGATTGTGGAGGCACAGAAGCAGAGGCTCCATGCTCTTGTGTGACCTGCCTGGGTCACAGAGCCGACATCTGACTCCAGGTCTGGAGTCGAGTCCCCTCCGTAACAGACACCTGCCTCCCAAGGCCAGACCCACATGTGGCTAAATGCATCCTGCCCAAGGGCACTCTCTTCACTCTGCTGGGAATCATGGGCGCCTGGTCTTACTGATCTTGGTCATGAAGAACAAGCCTGTGGCAGCCCCCTCCCTTGCCTGGGGGCACAGACCAGGCGGGGAGAACTGAGCATATACTTCTTGGGACCCTCTTCCTGGTGCCAAGTCTGAGACGTCTCCTGATGTAGCCCAAGACGCTAGAAAAATCCTGCGAGCTGTTAATTTTCATGGCTGACATTAAGGCCACCTGGACCAGACACCTCAAGGGTCTGCTGGCCTTAGTGGATCCCATTCCTGGGAGCTGGGAAGGCTGGGCTGTAGGCTCACCTGTACCCAGAGATGTCTCCACATGCTGCTTTGCAGAGATTGACCTTCAGAGACAGACATGTAATAGGCCCTGTGGAGGGTCTTCCCACATCACTGGCCTCTGACTTCACTCCCCTCATTCCCAGGCTGGCATTTGAGCTGCTCAGTCAACTCGGCTGGCTCTTTGCTGGAGCACTCACCACACACTTGAACTCCTGCTTCAGACAGGCGTGCTTGGACAAATACAAACCAAAGAGAAGATAAGGTGTTAACGTCCAGAATATGAAAATAATTCTTATAATGCAACAGCAATAAAAACAACCCAATTAAAAATGGGTAAAGGATTTGAACAGACATTTCTTCACAGAAGATATGCAAGGGGTCATATGATATACAGCAAAAGGCTGACCAGCAACACTCCTTGGGGAAATGCAAATCAAAGCCAAAATGGGATATAATTCACAAGGATGGCTATCATCCAAATGATAATGAGGGTTGTAATAGTTAATAAAAACAGGGAGTAAGCATCAGCTTGGATATGGAGAAATTGGAACCCTTGTGTGTATCTGCTGGGAATGGGAAAGGATGCAGTAGCCATGGGAAAAAAAATACCTGAAAAAATTAAACTGAGGGCTGGTGGCATGACTAAAGGAAAAGGTCCTGAGTTCAATCCTCACTATAGCCAAAAAAAAAAGAAAAGAAAAGAGCTAACCAGAATTACCATATGACCCAGCAGTTTCACTCTGAGGCATATGTACAAAAGAATTGAAAACAAGGACTCCAACAGATACTACACACCACGTTCATAGCAGTGGTGTTCACAGTCAAAAGGAAGCAAGCCATCAACAGATGCTTTCTGAGACTCTCCTCAGCCTCAGAAAGGAATGGAGTTCAAGTACATGCTGCTGCATGGATGCACCTTGAAAACCCTTGGTGAAGTATAACTAGCCAGACGCCAAAGGACATAGACTATATGATTCCACTTACCTGAGCAAATTCTTAAGACAGCAAGTAGAATGGTGGTAATGGCGGGGGGGGGAGGAGGGATGTGGACTTAGTGTGTAAGGGCACAGAGCTTCAGCCGGGGAGGATGGAGTGCTGGAGATGGATGGTGGTGACGGCTGTACATACTTCATTGCACACTTAAGATGATCAGAACAGTAATTCTTCCCACGAAAGGACCAGCCTGGCTTTCTCATTAGCACATGCCCTGGTTAACTTCAAGGCAGTGGGGCACCAGATCTGGGCCTCCTGTGCTGCCTGGGCTCCCCCTGGGCCTGCAGCCACTGCTCCTTCAGGCTCTGGCCTCGTGTGTGGAAGCCACGTAAGAGCAGGGAGGGAAATTGAAGTTAAGTCATTTGTAGAATGTCTATACTTGGGCAGGACCTCCAAACTTGGCAGCCTTGGAGGAAATGATTTTATTCCTTGGCCTCCCCTGTCACCTAGACACTCATCAGGGACGACTCTGCTTCCTATCTCAAGAAGCTTCCAAACAGGTGCACTGGTGGGCACCTTTGCAAACTCACGTCCGTCCGGGGGAGGACAGGCTGCACCCCAGGTCCCTGCCGGCCTCCAGTGCTTCCACAGGAAAACGCCGCGGGCTGCAGGAAGCCTGCACATCTATAAGGCCACTTTCTGGCATTGACCTCAGCAGCTCCAAAACAGTAAGGAGGTTAGCTCCAAAACAAGACAGGAGGATGGAGGGCCGCCCAGCAAGGGCCTGGCAAGTGCTTACTCCACCTCTTGGAAATGAAGACTGTGGGGTCCTGCTAGGCTCCGTTGGGCTTCAGGCCTTGGCACAACACCACTGTGCTCAGAAACAAGGGTCAACTCAGTTGTGTGCTCACAGGTCCTGCTGGCTTATGCAGGAGGTGTCCTGGCCCAGGAGGCCCAGGACCAGAACAACAGGGACAGACTTTGCCCTCATACCCAATGAGCCTTCTTATTGCCCCATTTCCTCTTGGCCCCGTTCTCTTCTGGCTACAGATGTCACCTATCTGATAGGAGCTCTGACAAGGAAGGCTGAGGACCATATCCAAACAGGATACCTGATTGCCCTCCTCTGAAATATCCCACTTGCTTTCTTTGCCTTCCTTGTGGCTGGGACGGCCAGCTGGCCCTGGAAGCCCTCTCCCCAGATCCTTGACCAGTCAACTTGGGGTCCAAGCTTGAGAAGCTGAGCAAATGCCCCGACCAAGCTGTAGGCTTCCTCTACCACAACAAATCATTTCACATTTGCCTCATCTCATGTCTTTAAAAAAATTTTTTAGTGGATTTTATTCCAACAGTTTTAGATTTGTAGAAAAATTGATATGACAGTTTCTGTATATCCTCCCCACCAGCTTCTCCTGCTATAACATCACACATTTGCTACAATTAACGAGCCAATATCAATGAGTTATCATTAAGTCCAGTTTATTGACATTTCCTTATTTTCACCCTAAAGTCCCTGCTCCATGTTCCCTGCATGACACCATACCCCAGTGAGTCGTCCTGTCCCCCGAGGCTCTACGTGGTTGTGGTGCTTTCTTATGGTGTTTCATCTCCCTCACTCCCTCTCTTTCTCTCTCTCTTTAGTTGGGGAGCTCTGTAAGGGTAAAATCACACCCTGCCTCTCAACCCCTCATTGTGCCTGACTACACTGTCATGTCCTGGGGATCAAACCCAGGGCCTCGTGCAATCGGGTGAATGCTCTGTGATTGAGCTACTTTCCCAGCCCTTGGTGTTTTGAGACAGTGTCTTGTCATGTAGCTGAGGCTGGTCTTGGACAGCCATCTTCCTGTTTCTGCCTCCTGAGTGCTGGGGTCACAGGTGTGTGCCTGCACCACGACAATTTTTATTTATCTTTATTTATTTTTATTTTTTTGGCAGTACTGGGGTTTGAACTCAGGGCCTTGCACTTGCTAGGCAGGTGCTCTCCCACTTTAGCCAGTCCTTTCCTTTTTTAAATGTTGGCAACTCACTGATATAAGACAGAGCCCATTGGTCCTGTGGGCTGGCTTTATCTAGCGGTGACCTTCCATTAGATGACACAGAGAAGTCAGCTGCCTCACTGTGAGAAGGAGCCTGGGGAGGAGGCCCAGGATTCCAGCCAGCCACTCTGGTACCATAGCATCAGAGCCTTGCCACCCATGTGTGGAGCCCATTTGCTAACCTAGAGCCTGGGACCTCATTTGGAGCAGAATCTCCATCATGGTGGCGTCCTGTCACACAGTTAGATGACTGTCCTTGTGACAGAGTTCACCAAACAATATTCCTGCTGTCCTCACAGCTGTGGCTAAACTGGGTCTGTACCAGACTCAAGTGTTGAAAAGGTGGGTGGGCAGAGCAAAGGGACAGGTGATGTTGGGCACTCACCCAGAGCAGTCATGTGCCAGGCACTGCCTGCTTCTCCTCACACTTTTTCTCCTAATTGCCCCCAACAGCCTTCGGAGGTGAAATAATGAGGCCTGATTGACAGGTAAAGAAACCCAGATAGTGGGGACAAGGTTTCAAAGTTATCAGATATTCTAAGTGGCAAGCCCGGGGTTTGTCTCTTCTGGGCTGTGGGCTATCTGTACCTCCGTTGTTTTCGTGGCTCTAGAAGCCCTGCAGGTGGACAGCTGGGAGGTAGGCAGTGGTGGTGTTGACCATAAGATTGCTGTGGAAACACTCACCGAGGTAGGGCAGGTCTGACGACTGTGACCCTCAGCTTCCCAAGTAGGACCCATTCCTGATCCTGCTCACTGTCACTGCAGTCACCAGAGTCAGACCAGAGTGCGCAGGGTGTTCTCCATCAGCCCCCTTTCTCCTTGCCCTCCATTGCTGGAGAAAGAGCTGCTGAGGCAGCTCTATGGTTCTCCTGCGACCTGCCAAGGCTGGAGGTGGGTAATTCAAGGGTTAAGTATCAAGACACAGGCCTGCAGAAGAGCTAAGATTTTAAACCAAGACGAGGAAATGGCTTCAGTTTAAAAAAAAAAAGAAGATACTAAAACCTGAAGAAGAGCTGATCCAAGAGATGGGCCAGAACCTGGGGTGTCACCAGGGGTAGTCACCTGGGACCCCAACCCGAGGACAGATGGGGAGAGGGATTCCAGGCCTGAGTGTTTTTATAGCTGCACGTGGTACCTGCCACTCTACTCTCCTGGAAGATAGGGTGCTGGGATTTCCCTTCATGTGGAACTTTATTTAACTATGTTAAATGTAATGACCCCACTTGTGAGGCCAAACCCTGAGGGAAAATAATTATTTTCTAGCAAAAATGTCTTATTAAATGACACTGCACAGCATTGCCTACTCTCTCTGGTAAGGGAAATGCCCCTATGGTTGAGAAGCCCACAGGTCAGGGACAATCCACTGGTAGTGGCAGAAGTCACACCAGTGGCCCTGCTAAGCTGGGAGCTGTCCCCCCAGCACAGCCTCCCGGGTGGCTGTCCACCTCCCGTCTCACTCTCTCCCCACCTCTCCACCTCTTGTTGCTGCTTCAGTTTCTTCTCATCTGCAGAAAGTCTCTGTTGGGAAGCCCTATGGCTCTGTGTGGGCCTCAGCCAATTCTCTAATGGGGTGGTCCAGCCTGTTGGTCCCAGCCACTGAAGGACCTGCCTCCATTGCTGTGCCAGCCCCTAAGGGCTTGCCAATCAGCCTTACTGTCTTTGAATCCCGGCCCTGCCACTTACAAGCTCTTTGTCCCCCTTGGAACACAGTTTCCTTGGCACAGGAACATCAGGGCTCCATAGAGCAGCCTCCAACACAGCTGGATTCAAACTGAGCCCCCAATTTGGCTCCGACCTGTGCCTCCCTCCCCTTTTCCTCCACATTCCTCCTGCACGCTCCTATTTGACCATGCAAAGTAATTCTCCTGAATCCACTTCTAACAATGCGTGACCTGTCTTCGAGGGCTTGTATTTTCACAATTCTTTCATTTGAAGTGATGGTCCAGTCTTACCCTCACCTCATACATGGATCTGTGTCCCCAAGAGTCTGTGGCATGCAGACCGCCTGCTGAGAATCCTAAGTGTTCTTCCAGCTTCCTCCCCGTGAGCTATGTGGTGCTCACGTGCTCCTCCATCTGCTGAGGTCCATCTATATCATCATGGTTTAACGGGAAGGGATGTCTGCTGCACATATTCCAGAAGGGCGGGTAATGCACCTGTATCAGAAGACTCGGTGTCAAAGGAGGCCATGAGCTACTGGTGGCAGAGACAGCCCTGTGGGGCCTCAGCAAGACCTCTGGGTCTTGACTTGTAGGAGCAGCAGACATGGACCTTGGGCAAAGCGCTAACCCTCACCTTTGAGGTAAGGATAATGAGGCCAGCCAGCCTTTGATGGCTGGGACAAAAGACTGTTGAAACTTACCTGTGAGGTAGGTACTATTACCCCATCCTACAGATGAGCAGATGGAGGCCTACAGAGGGAAGAACTTTCCTTTGGCTCAAGGAATGAGGAAGCAGAGGAGCTCAATTCAAAGTTGGGATCAGATGAGATGACACATGTAAAGCAGTTAGTGCCAGGCACAGCATGTCATCAGTGCAATGGTGTGTCAGCTTGACTAGGCCAAGTCCCTAGAGACTGGGCAAAGCTGCTGCCCTTGTCAGTGTTGCGGGCCTCTCCCAATGCATCTGAGGCCTGAAGAGAACAAAAAAGGGTGAGTAAGGGAGAATCCCCTCTGCCCTATGCCATCAGGCTGAGCCCTCTCCTGTCCTGTCCTCACTCTCACTGGCTCTTCTTTGGCCTCTTGCCTGAGGGTTTACGGTCTGAACTCATACCATCAGCTCTTCTGGGTCTCCAGCTTGCTGATGATAGACCTTGGAGACTTTCTGCCTCTCTAATTTCTCTTTTCTAATTTTTTGAGGCAGGGTTTCTCACCCAGTAGCCCAGGCTGGCCTTAAACTCGAGATCCTCCTGCCTCTGCAGTTCTGGGATTACAGGCGTAAACCACCATGCCTGGCCCTCAGCCTCTGTAATTATGTGATCCAATTATAAATTTCTTTCTCCATGTATGTATCCTGTTGGTTCTCTGAAGAATCAGTGTTGTCAGTGCTTCCTTTCTATGTGGTCAGCAACCACCCTGAGCCTACCGAGTGCCACGTGTGGTGAATTCACTAATTCAACAACATTCACCATGCGTTCATTAGACACTCCTGGCCTCTGCAGAGAACAGAGGCAGAGGTTAGCAGTCAGTAGCAATAGTGGCTGCCGGTAAGGCTGTGTGGCTCTTCATTGTGATAGAAACCAGTAAATAATTCATTTATTATGACAAGATTTATGGTGATGCCTTTTAAATATGTTTTTTAAGCAAACTTATCGTCATGGAAACCCTCTTAAAACAAGATGCGACCTGGCCTGGAGAACCTGAGCGTTAATTACAATACTGCTTTGTACTTACTACCCCTTTCTTCTGGGAGTTTAATGGACCTCACTCATTAAGCTCACAAACCCCCTCTGAAGTCTTCAGGGGACAGATACTATAAAGCCCATTTTACAGATGTAGACACCAAGGAACAGGCGGGTCAAGTGACTTTGCCACTAACTGGCAACTTATCCATGAGCAAGTCTGGGCCAAGCCCCAGGTCTCCTCTTGCTTCCTCTGTTGTCTTTACTAATCAGACTCCATCCTGGATTTTGAAAGCCCTCCATCATTAAAGGATTAGAGTTTCCCACAGGCTGGTATGGGGATCCCAAGATTCTGTTGCCATCCATGTGCACAGGCTGCTGGGCAGGGACTGTGGGACCAAAGAGGCGGGGAGATCTGCAGGAGTAGTGCCTAGAGCTCGTGGGGTGGAAGGAATGAAGACTGTGGGGCCCGAAAAGGGCCAGGTGGCCACCAAACACTCTAACATCCCAAGGGACACACAGTTGACACCATGCTAAGAGTCCTCTACTCCCTGTCAGCCACAGTGGCCAAGGTCCCTTCCTTAAGTACGTAGGCAATTCCCTCCCTCAGACCTTTTCTGTAGCCCTGTGGTCCTCAGGTGGGGCCAGCAACACCATCTGTGCATTAGAAATCACATTTTCTGGTCCCCACTGCATCAGAACTGTTTTACAAGCCCTCTAGGGGCTTCCAATACTTGCTTAGAATCTTTGTTTAGAATGTTCTTCTCAGTGTCCTAACTCTCCTCAAGTCTCAGTCTTGAGACTTCAGTGACTGGACCCACTGCTCTCAGCTCTCCTTACCAACAGTGCTCCTGGCTGGCATAATATAACTTGATATTGTCTATTTCCCTGTGAAAACAGAAGTGCCATGAGTGGTTACTTCACTTGTCGCTTGCAGACAAGTCACTGCCAACAGGCAGTGAGTGTACAAACCACGATCTTTGCCTCTGATCACTGGATGAATGAGGAAGAGGAGGAACAAGTATTTGGGCAGGTAGGATGGGGTGGATGAATTTTGCTCTGAGCACTTTGAGCTTGAAGTGCCACAGAGCTACATGGTAGGTGGTTCTGGAACACTAAGAAGGGGTTCACTATGTAAGGAAGAGGAATGAAAGGTTTAGGAAGGAAATGCTAGTGTGTCTACCTGTCTGTCTATCTGTGTGAGGGACATGTAGGAGCTGCAGAGTAACCTGAGAGGCCAGGACAAAAAGGGACATGCAGACAGGCAGTTACTACAAAGAAGACGGGAGAAGAGTTAGTCTCAGATGCAGCAAGAAGGCAAGAGCAATCTTCCCCTAGAGCGAGAGTGGATGAGTGGAGGGACTGAAGGGTGTCCACTGGAGAAGGGAGTGGCTGTGTAGGGGAAGATGGGTGGGGTGAAGCGATCCAATCTGGCCAGCTGGACGTGAGGACCCCTCAAATCCTCAGAGTCTAGGATTCATAATTTTATCTGCATCTAAAAGAAACTCAAGGTGACTAGAAAAATATAGTTGTCTCCCACACCCCCTACCCTTCAGCTTTGAAGTTCCATTTGGGTTTACAAAATAGTCACCAATAGGGCTGGAACCAACGTTGGAGAATAATGACTTCCTCTCCACAATAAGGAACGGGAACGCTCACTGGGGGAGCACAGGCCTCAACCACCTGCTGGGGAGGGAGGGGCGCCAAGAGCCACAGCACTGGCCTGTGTCCCTCCTGCAGCCCCTGCTTCAGGCCCTTGATCTCCAAGGGTGAGGACTCAATGTTGTAGCAAGGTCCTATTCGCTGATATGTTTTAAGGAGAAGTGGTGTACCTGTCCCCAAACAGCTCAGATATTAACTGTTGGATTTTTTATTGTACCACTTAACTTTGGAAAAATTTACATGTGCACAAAAATTAATTTTAAGGAGAAAATTAGGTCTGAATTTTCCTACAGGTTCAAAGAGGTGTATAGTGTCCTTAATCAAGCTACTGGAGATGCTTAAACATAAGGAAATTGCAAATATAAGGCAAATGTTATATTTTCCCAAGAAGAAAAAATTAACTAAACTTAAACAAATAAACTTTTCAGGTGGTCATGGTGGTGCATGCCTTTAGTAATCTCAGAACTTAGGAGGCTGAGGCAGGAGGCTTGTGGTTGAGGCCAGCCTGGGTTACATAGTAAGACCCTGTCTCAAAACAACAAAAATAACCCAAAACAAATAGACACAAACAGACTTTTTAGGTACGTCAAAGAAGTAAGAATTAACTCATGGCATTTATTTAAATACTTTAAAAACCACTTATTTTAATCTCTTGCTTTCTGCTTCCAAAGTTCTGAGTGAATTCAGCCTCTCCACAGCACAGCACTCTCTCACTGGAACTTTTCCAACCTCATGGTCACATAGGTAAAGCCGGGTTTGAAAATCATTTCAAAACCACATCAATCAAATTTAAAAAAAATCAAAACTTCAAGTTTACCTATAGACCACAATTAAAAAAAAAATAAGACCACAGTTGTTTTCCCATAAAATGTCTTTTATATTCTAATTTATGCTGGAGATGGGGGGGGCATTAAAACTCCTGTGTTTAGTAAAGCAAACAAAGAAAGTCCTACAAAAAACCTTCCTGAAGTTCTAGCAAAATTCTTATCTACATAATTTATTACCTTACAAGGAGTGGCAACAATTACACATTTGGGGGACAAATCTCAGTGGATTTGGTCAACATGCACTGGAGCATAAGAATACAATCCACTCATTAGGGAAGGAGGCAGTGTTCTCAGTTTAAGGTGGATCATGAAGTCAACTTAATGTCTGTGAAAGTTTTGGGGTGAGGGAGAGATAAAGGAACAAAGTAAGACAGAAAAATATCTAGAGTCAGAGCAACTGAGAAATACTTCCTGAATTCCTGACCCACTGACGTGGTTCCATGGCTGTAAGCCACCCTATTTTGGTATAATTTATTACACAGCAACAGATAACCAGCACACCTATATATACACCACACCACTCCAGGAACCGTCCTCCCTCTCTGGAGCCCTCGCCTTTCCCCTTTCCTCCATTATTGCATGCTGCAATGTCTCCATCTTCAAGAAAATGCTCCCTTGACCTCACATGTCCTATTTTCTGTTTCCTTTTATCAAAAATTCCTCCCAGAGCCGGGGCACAGCTCAGGTGGCCGAGCACTTGACTAACAGCGTGAGGTCCTGGGTTCAATGCCCAGTAATGAAATGAAGTTCGAGTGTTCTGCATTGTGGTCATCTGACTCCCTTCCTCCATTCTCCCTTCACTATTCCAATTTAGGTTTTCAGCACGCCAACCCCACTGAAGCAGCTCTCGCCAAGAGCAAATCACCCCACTATGACACTTAAGACTCTTCAGGTACTAAATCTGAAGCTCAATCTTCATCTTACTTGACACAATCACTTACTAAATATTCATATCAACAGCAAACAAAATAGAGCAAACCACCCTCCTAACCCTTACTGAGTTGACACCTGGGGGCAGGAGCCAACAACAAATAAGCCTACCTAGAATATTCACAGCAAGACCTCTGTCTTCTGGGTCCCAACATCTCCCAGCAGAGGGGCAGCGGGGAGGGGGAGGGAGGAAAGCAAAAAGGAGAAAGCCAGAGGCACAGGAGCTCATTAAATGCCTCTCTACTTTGGTATGTATTGACATTTCCCATAATGAGTTTTTAAAAAGCAAGTTATGTCAGGTGCCATCTGCCTAGCAAGTGCAATCCAGGGCTGGCAGTGGGGTGTAACAATTTAAGTTGACAGAATGGGAAAGAAAAAATGAGGGTTGGGGAAGAGCACTCGTGGCAGATGGAATCAAACTGGAAAGGCTCTGGCTTAAGAGAATGTCTGGAATGTTCTAGACACAGAAGGCCTGCAGTGACTGTAAGCAGAAGGGGAGAGGGAGGAAAAGGCCAGCATGCAGCACCACTGTGGGGACATGGCTGTTGCTGAGAAGGCAGGCCACTGTGGGATTCCAGGAAGAAGACAGACATGACTTGAATGCAATCTCCAACTGATACTAGTCAAGGACAAGTCCCTTCTGGAGAGAGGCCAAATATTGGAGATCACACCTGACTCCTCCCTCCTTCCACCGGCTCCATTGCCAAATCCTGCCAGCCCTACCTTCAGCATCCACTAGGATCCTATCTGCCACCCAGGCCAGGGCCGCATGGTGGATCCGACATGGCCTCCCTGCTCTGCCTTTGCTCCTACAGCTCGTTTTTCTGGCAGAGGGAGAATAAGTGATGTGGACCGTTCGTGAGAAACAGGATCCCATACAATTGTCTTGGGAACTTTGATAGTCTCTTTGCACTCCATAAACGGTACTTAAAACAATGTTAAGATTAGCCCAAGCACTTTATAAAATATGTGTTTCTGCTCTTCTGACAAGGGATAAAAAAAGAAGCTAAAAGCTGGTGGAGTGGCTCAAGTGGTAGAGCGCCTGCCTAACACGTGTGAGGCCGAGTTCAAATGCCAGCACTGCCAGAAAAAAAAGAAGCTAAAACACTATCCTAACTGAAATTGTCATTCAAATCTCATATACCAAAGAAGAAAGCAAATGAAAATGCAATGACATTTCCACTGCTTGGCTACATACAGATGTTTCATGAAGTTGCTGGATCCATTAAAAAATTTCTTGGGTTATACTTAACACAGAAATGACTTTGCAAAGTTCCTTTCTTTACACTTTTAGGCCAAACCATGACTAAGGCAAAGACTTAAACAAATCACAGATCACTCATGGAATTAAATAGTCTGAAGTTCATACAAATGATGCACAGACTTGGGAAAAACGTGTATACAATATACTATTAGTTATGAAAACTAACTCGGGAAACAGTACACATAGTGTGACCCCACTTTCATTATCAAACATGTCTATATTGTTTACAGTTGAAAACATATGCCTTACACTATTACAAGCTCTGGGGATCAGAAGAGGATGGAGGCACGAGCTTGTCACTTTGATAAAGCAATCCTCTAAGTCAAGTGTATGTGCACAGTGGAGAGACCCTGTGAGGTCCAAGCATGCCTGTGGTGAGACAACCACTGGTGAGGAAGAGAATGATTCTGGTCTTGAACTCTCGCCATGCCCTCCTAGCATCGTTCCGTCTCCAAAAGCCATCCTTGCTCCAACTGCTGGAAACTATCTGGAAACAAAAGACTAGGTCTGGGGAAGGGAAGCCAAGGGGGGCTGGCACAGAAGGGGAGACAGTGGCACTCAGTCACACCAGCACTGTGCTACCGCTCGTGCCAGCTCATCAATACCCTGGGAGCACTTTGCTGGCAGAGACCATTTCTGAGGGCTGGTAAGAAACATCACAGACAGAAAAAAATAACAAAGGAAGCTAAGGAGATACACAGAATAATCTTGAAGCAGGAAACTTCCCAGAAGCAGAGCCCTCAGGAGCCTCAGCCCCGAAAAGGCAGATCTGCTCTAAGGGGTCAATAGGTAGAAAACCAAGCAGTGGGTGAGGGGAGGGAGAAGGGAGCTGGAAGGAGAATTCATACACCTATAAAGTCAGGGTGTCCTTGAATGTCCCTCACAGATCGGCTCAGTCCCTCCTGCTGCCTGTAAGAATTCCCCACATCAAACACAGAGTGCACCTGTGCTCTTCAAAACCTCAATATTAAAGTCCGTGGCTGTGTTCAGAGGTGTGCATGTGGCCCCTGAAGTGGGGGGATGGTGGTGGTGAGAAAGCACTTTATTAAGTGCTCTGGGCCTCCCACCGTGCCAGCTTCTCTGCTTATCAGAAGCGCCTAATTTAATCTTACTAACACTTGTTAGGCTGACTTTATAGGTGAGACATGGCTTAAAGGATACACAGTGAAAGCATGCAGAACAGGAAGCTAACAGAGCTGAGATTCAACCCCAGGTCAGTGGCTCTAAAGCCCAGCCTTTCCACTTTCTCACCAGCCTCCAGGTGCCAGAATGGAGCCCCATGGCTCTTCTCCACCTGCTGATGATCTGGTGACCCATTTTATAGGCGCCTTTGTTTCAGAGACGTGAACTGCTAACCTGCAGCACTGCTCATGTCATGTAACATGGCACGCTGGCTCCCCACAGAGTAAAGAAGGACGGGCCTAGGGGGCAGGACAGCAGAAAAGCCTGGTCTTGAGAGACACATTGAGAGCACAGTCCTGACCTCCGGGGAATTCTCTCTCCAACTTCTTCTGGAGCGCCTGGCCCTGCCGGAAGCAGTGTGGGAAACAGAAGAGAAAAGCAATGAGGCACTGAGGACTGCCTTTCAAGGGCCCCCTGGAAGGAGTTGAGGAAGAAGCCGGAGAGGAACGCATGGGGCACAAAAGACTGGGACCACAGCATGAGGTGGGCTGCTCGCCAAGAATCAACAATCTCTTCCTCGGGACCGTGCCTTCTACACATCTACACAATCACTGTCACACCCACACACACTATGTAGCACACACACTTCTCACCTAGAAACAGGCTTCAGCTCTCAGACTTCTCACAGAAGTGAACATATGATGCATGCTGGTCCCCGCCTGTGGTAAGCCAGCCTGCACAGAAGCAGCAGAGACCACAGGGGGAAGAAACACCAGGAAAAGGGAGAAGGGAAACTGTGAAGAGACAAGGAACCACAATGAAAAGGAGAAAAGGGGGAGCACAGCCTGAATCCTCTATACATGGATGGATGGAGATGCTCCTGAGGTCACTTGGCAGGGCAGAACGGTTATAGTAACGCATGAATTCTGCCTTTTGGGCATTTAAAGTTAGATTCTATAGTTCACCTTCCAAAGAGTTACAATTTCACTACTGCATAAAGAAACTTAAAAAAAACCGTATTAAGGCAACTCTAAAATCCTAATACTCAAAAAACTAGGGAACTCAAAGCTAATTTTTAAATGAACTCAAGGCAAGGGTCTTTCTCAAAAAAACCATCCAAATAAAAGCTTTATTTTTGTTTCCTCCAGCAAGTTCATCGAAAATACCTATTTAATCCTGTGCCAAGTTGAGTAACCAGTAGTTTCCATTTCTTATTGTTATTTCCATTAATTTATATTGTTTGTATAAAAATAGTTTAAAAAAATACATCAGAGTAACACAGAAGCAAGCAAACAAACCTATCAATATAACCCAGAACATAAAACAGGGCCAGTATAAGAGCAGCAGGCCAGACAGGGATGGGTTTCTGGTGTGTCCGTCAAGGATGGCAATGGCCATTCCAAGAAAAAAACAACTAGGACACTAGGACATGGTAAATGTTTTCAACACAGGATGACCTTTTGTTTCATGATCAACTCTCAAAATATTAAAACATGACGAGGACCCGCTTTACCTAATTAAAGCCAGGGGAAAGGACAGTATTTATAATGGGGCAAAAACTTCACCAAGCACTCTGGGAGCTATTCGGGGACTAGCGGTGGGGCCAGTGCACCTCCATGCATAAATTTTGCAACGTGTCCCTTGTCTGGGGTTACTACTCTTGTGGCAATCGGCTGAGGTGAAGTACTGCTTTCTACTGCTGCCAAGGGTCACTTCCATGGTCAGTGAAAGGGCCGGCCTCTTCTGGGTCTGCACCTCAGGTGACCAGCAGACCGGCGAAGTTTCTTCCTCTCTTGTCGGTGCAGTTTCTCAGCCTCCTGTTGCTTCTTCTGCTGTTCCGACTAAAAGGGAAAAGGAAATGAATGGAGACAAAGAGAAAGAAAAGGTAGCACCCCCTGTAGTGATTGTTGGAATGCAAGAGAACCATCAGTCACAGCCAGGTTCAGGCCCTGGCTCTGGCTGCTGGAATCAACTCAGATGGCTTGTTCTGGGCTCAGATGGTCTGTCTTGGCAGGAGTGGCCAGACACAGGTCAACTTTCACCACCACTGGAAAAGCAGAAACTCCAACCCCCTGAGCAAGACAATGCCCGGATACACCAGTCTGTCCACAAAGTAGACTAGCTTTGCAACCAACACAAAGATACTCTTGGAACGCTTTCAAAAGGCCTATGGAAGAGCCACCTGGAGAAGGTACATTGCCTACCAAATACCCACCTCTCTCTTCAGTCTTTGCTTATAAGCCAGAACCACAACTTTACTCGCTGTCTTAACCCACACTTGATTAAGCACTCATTCACCAGAACTGGTCCCCAAAAATCAAGCATCCCTTGAAAGTAGGTTTGCCATCATGAAACCTGGCAAGGAGTTCAGCAGACAACCCATCAGTTCACAGCCACAAGAAGCACAGAGCTCTTGGCCAACTGCTAGGCAGGTACCCGTGAGCATCCTCAGTGCTCCTCTGCTTACTCGTCCCGCCCCCAACAAGTGTCACTATTGTCAGCAGAGATTCTTCAAAGAGGAAGGAAGTTCTGAAAAAGTACATTGCATGGTTCTAAGAAGCAAATTTCTGCAAGTAAGCAACACAGGAAGCTGGAGAAGTACACGTGTAGACACAGAGGCTTGGTGGGCAGCGATCGAGGTTTGAAGGCCCCAACTCAAAGACCTTCAAAACACCTGCTTCAAGACCCTCACCAAGTAGTCAGCACACACTGGTTATTTAATCTTTTTTTTTTTGGTGGGACTGGGGTTTGAACTCAAGGTTTTGTACTTGCAAAGAAGGTGCTCTACCACTTGAGCCACAATCATGTCCACTTTGCTTTGATTATTTTGGAGATGGGGGTCTCTAGAACTACTTTCTATGCTGGTTTCGAACCTTAGTCTTCCCAATCTCAGCCTCCCAAGTAGCTAGGATTACATAAGCCACTGGTGCCTGGCTCTATTTATTTACTATTCTAATATACAAAGCCCTGGGTTTGATCCCTAGCACTGCAAAAAAAGAAAAAGAAAAAAAGAATATTCTGTTGCTTCCTGTTAGTAAGAATCTCTAAAAAAGAATTTCTTTTTCTTTTTTGAGACAGGGTCTTGCTATATAGCCTAGACTGCCCATGATCCTTCTGCATCTATAATACCAGTACTCAGGCTCCTGAGTACTGGTATTATAGATGTGCACTACCAAGCCCAGCCCCCTAAAAAGAATTTCTCCAAAGAATTTTGGAAAATGAAGTGCCAAATCCAGATGCACACGAGCTTTTGAAGAAGCAGTCTCCGGTCTCTGCTTGGTCTGCCTGTGTATACCTGGCAGCACTCTCTCTGGGAAGGAGCTCAGGGAGGAGCTGGGAAGAAGCCACCATTGTTCTGCAGACAAAGTCTATCATTAGCCTCTCTCTAACAGGGAAACCTTGCCAATGTGTCACCATTCATTATTATTTATGGGCCAATTAGCTCTTCTCTATGTTGTCCTTCCCTCCTCCCCGGTTATGTCCCTGACCACCCCACCTGCTGTGGCATCCCACCATGCAGGAGGGAGAGGACACAGCAAGTCAGAACACTTGTGTGGGCAACGAATGGCTTTAATGAAGAAAATATTAAATATTTTAAGTAATTAAGAAATTTTAAGAAAATTCAGTAATACTAAGTGTACATATTTCCTCCTTAAAATTTTATTGATATTTTAGAAAGTATATAGGAAAATATTGGAAAACCCAAGATTTTACCAGAACATATCACATACATATAAACATGGTATAAAAAGAGACTTCCATAAACAAATACACAAACATGTCCCTAAGATATTTAAAGCCGAGGTTTAATAACTCACTTTCCAGTCAAACGATAAAACACATAAACATTAACTGAAATAACAGTTTTAAAGCCTCTGCCTGATTAAGTTAAAAGGCTATTTCAAACAATTCTTACTGTTTCTTTTTCCTGTATATTTTTAAAGCAAAAACATAATTTCAGAGATACCTTATTTTTCGTTTTACCAAATTACAAAGTGGTACTCAACTCAGTGCCTCCAACTTAACACTAGTGCATTTCCTCACTGCCGCAAAGTGGGAGCCTCTCCACCTAGTGGGCGGGTGCCACTCCTGACTCACACTTGACTTCAACTTCAGAGGGAATTGGGAAATTCACGGTAAACAGAGAATTTATAAGAAAGTGTGAATAGGCACAAGGAGCTACTCAGAATGCATATCCAGTTCTCGCTTATTTAAATCATATTTAAGACTGCAAATTTGAGCTGGGAGCTGGTGGTTCATGACTGTAACCTAAGCTACTTGGGAGGCTAAGATCGTGAGAAGATCCAGGTTCAATGCCAGTCTAGGCACAAAGTCCTTGAGACCCCATCTTATCCAATAGTTGGGCAAGGTGGTGTGCACCCATCATTCCAAGCTACACAGGAGGTTGAGATCAGGAGGATCACATGGTTTGGTCTATTTTCCCTTCATGAATCAAAATAACATTAAGAAATAACTCACCCTCTTTAATGTGAAAGTCAGTTGTTTGCTGCCAACAGTGGTGTCTGATACATTCAATGTCCCATTTTTTGCTTCAAGTTTCAAACGATCTTCAAGGGTTTTGCTGTAGGAAATTTAAAAGAATGACACATTAATTAACTTTTTGTTTTATCAATTAGAAGTAATCCCATGAAGAAAAGTCTTTCATATATCATGTAAACACAGAAAAGACATTTACTTAACAGACTCTGTGGAAAGAATTAGGAGCACTCAAACTGTCCTACTTTACTCTGCACCTGAATATTCTGCAAAAGCAATGGCTGACCACAGCACTGCTGACAGAATATGGAAACGGCAGTGTCAAGGACCCCAGCAATTGCTGCTTGTCTACTGTATTTCCGAAGCCAGATACAAGGAATCTGTAACTTACTGTGACAGTCTGAGGCACTTATGGATTCTAGGGCATTTCATATTTGAGCCATGCACAAGTGAGGTATCTGGGCATTTGAGCAACTCACCTGCCTTCTACAAAGGAATGAATACACACACATTAAGCTCTTCAGCCACAAAGAGCTGGGATAATTCTGACCTTTTTCTTCACTTAGCCTCAAAAAGTCATCTTATAGCAAGGACAATGTGAAACATGAACCATTTGATTACAGTGACACAAAACAAAAGCAATTTTGCTTTGGGTAAATTCTACCTGGTCTCTATTCACTGTGACCAGTGAATGCACGTGTCTTCCAGTGTTTTTCCTTAATAATTCTTTCTGACATACTTTATCCCAAAGTTAATTCTTATTCTATTTCTTGATCATATTTTTCAAACTCTCCTAGGTCTCCTTATACAATGCATGTCTCTGCTATCATTTGCTGTGCTTTACAATTCATGGTCACCTGTATAACTAATAGTCCTGCCCAGCTTTCCAGAAACCATGCTAAACTTGAATTTTGAACTAGTTATATAATACTTCATTGCATATTGCTGTAATTTATTATAAATCAGAACATGGGCCCTTTTTGTTAACTTTTGTTTTAGAGGGAAAAAACTGAATTAAGCCCCAAAATACATATTTTTAATAAGTTTAAACAGCACTGACTCTCCTAGAAACGGCTAAACAGCACAGTCCCATCCCATGATAAGACTGGAAGGGGACAGAAGGGAGAAAAAAGAAAGAATATAAGTTTTCTTTTTCTATTCTGCTTCCTCCTTAAAAATGAAACAACACAAAATCCACACCAAACCAACACAACAACAACAACAAAAAAATGCACTTCCCTTTCCTACTACCTCTCCTTGTACACCCCAAACTGAATGCACTCTTAAAGCTAGTATTAAAAAACTTGATGGAATAAAAAAGAAAAGCTGACTTGAGTGAAATGGTCTATTTTTCCTGAAATATGATCTTCATAACTAATTACAAAGTACACCATCTCCTAAAGCATCCATAGACAAAGTGATTCTCTTTGAAACTGTGAAGCTAATGTTTGATGTTCACACCATGAGAAATTTATCTCTAGTTTATAACCAGCAGTAATGTACTAAACATAGCTTCTTTATATAATTTGAGACATAAAGTGGTTAGCATAAAAGTGGTACTCTTTTCTAAGCAATAATGTTATTAAGAAGCACTTTTAAAGTACTTTTCATCTTCAAAGTTCTTTACAGACTAACTAATTAATCCTTTCAACATCCCTGAGACAGGAGTATTTATCCTTTATAGATGGCAAAAAGGGAGGTAAAATGTTAAATGACTTGCCTCAGGCCATGTAAGGATCCAACTTTAAACCAGGATTCCAATGGAAGGAGTTCTGGTTTCCAGGCATGTGTCAGACTATACCTGATTTATAAAGCTCTGTTCAGGAACCGTGTCCATTAAGCATTCTAAATGACAAGCTTCCACATGATAAACTGAATGAAATTAAGGTTCGTTCTGTTTTTAAACTGCAGTGTGAACTGATTCTAGCAGGCATGGATGTTTAATGTTAGCCCAAGTGAATTCCTCAACCTGCTCATTTCACTTTTGTTCTTTCCTTTCCTAGCTATAAACTCTGAGTTTTAAAGTTAACAGGAATTCTGGACAACTGTGGAGCCACTGAGACAAAATGGGACACAGAAAACACTAATTTGGGAAGAAAAAGACTTCAAGAAAATTGTGGGAAATTACTACTCTTTTAAGAATGACCTTATTTCCTCCATGATAGGGTATATAAATTCTGGTTTTCTCTCAATGTACTTTCAATGTGCACTTGTAAAAACTTGTTCTGTCTAGGCTGCTTGGAAAGGCAGGCTGGATTTTAGAACGAGGCATGGCAAAAGATCAGAGACGCCAGGGACTGCGTGGAGATTTCTACATTAAAGCAAGCTCTACTTTCTTCCCTTTGAAAGTCAGCTGCATGTGGCTGCCACCCAGCAGTGCAGTGGCTGCTGCTTGAGGGTAACTGCTCAGAGATGACAGGAAGGAGACAGATGCATTGCAATAACACCTGAGAATCCCTGGGTGACAGACAAACAAAACACAAGAGAAAGGCCCAGCAGGAGGACCGAGGCCTAGCTTCTCTTCCCTCAAATCCTACTTCTCACTCTTTCCCCATCTAGGCTTCAGACTTATAGAGGGTTAAAATTATTATAGCGAAAAACCTAACTGGGACAAAGTGAACAAAAAACATCCCCAAATCTGTGGTGATTGCTAAGAAAAAAGACACAGGATTTAAAAGGTTGGATATCAAGTGGGATTACTCAGTACAGAGGGCTCCTGGGAAGAACCTAAATTATTAGTAAAGCTACCTTAATACAAAAAAGAAAAATGGGCATGAACTACAAGGAGAAAAGTCAAATTAGATATTTAGTAAGTGCCCCAGGAGAGGAGAATGATTTACTTCTTTGAGGTCTTAAAATACATACATACTCTACAATTTCCTTAATTAGAAACATTTAATTAAAAATCGTGTTCTTCCAACTAAGTTTTTTACTCACTTTGCAGGGAGGGGAAGCAGGAGTATAGAAGATAATATAAAGACATGTTCCTTAGTATAGAATTCACCAGAGTTAAGTACAGAAACGAAAACGACAGAAAAGTGACATTGTAAACATCTTTAATATGTGTTTTGAGGTACTGTTTTAAATAACACATTTAACAAACCTTTACCTACACCATAAAAGCTGTAAAACGCTTCCAGTGCTTACAGTCTGTACACGCTGCTTTGAAGGCCCTATGGTGGGGAGGTGACGTCAAGCGACCACAAAATCTGATGCCTCATCCATCAGCACAACTAAAATTGAACTGGATTTCCAATATCCATGGCAGCTGCAAGTGTGGGGAAGCAGGCTCCAGTCTTTTGGAGAGTCATTTGGCAGAATTTATCTCATGTCCCTTTGGGTCCAGCCAGGTTCATTACTAAGAGTATATTCTAAAGAAATATTTGTACATGTGCACATTCGTAACTGTGAGAAAGTGAAGGAAAAGAAGGAAGAACCTAAACCCGCACAACAAGGGCAATAGCTGCAGAGTTATGGCACAGCCATCTTGCAACTACTTTGTGCAGCCACAAAGTAGACCTACGGATCCCAAACAAAACCTCAAGACTCATTAAGTGAAAAGAGCATTTAAACGAGATGATTAGCATAAACCACTCATGTTAGAAGTTACCAGTACAGGTACTTGAGAGTGGACTACGGGAGTAAATGCACTTACTGGAAGGATGTGGCTGGAAGGATGGAGCGTGCGGCATGTGGCAATGTCACCTGCCAGGCTCACTTCGGCATTATAGTTGGGACAGGTTGGCATATTATCGGTGCACACTAATTGAGTAATAAAAGGTTCAAATGTAAGTCTGGAATTAACTCCAAAATTAGATTTTTAGAATGCTTACACTTCATTCTTAGGGACTTTAGCTCTTTTCCATTATCAGTGAGGAGAGTCAGCTGAAGAGCAGCATGTGCCACAGTGTCTTCAGAGTGGATAATGCTGAGGCTACGAGGAGCTCATGGAGCTACTGCACTACCCACGGAAATGAGGTCTGTGAACGCAGGAACTATCTTTAAAAAAATCTTTGAATTCCCAGGATCTACCACAGGGCAGGCACTTCAAAGAATGCTTTCCTACAATGAGCCCAGCAGCTAATATCCATTCTCTTTAGGCCCTGCAGTGCAAAGGGTTCTTGCCCTGAGGACTCTCTTCCTTCTCTGTCCATCAGCACAGACATCCCCAATGCTGTGTCCTGAAGGCCATGAATGCCCCGAAAGAAAAGGCTGATGTGCTTAAACCCTAACAAAGGTCAGCAAGCATAAACTTCCTGATTTTTCCACTGACCAAAACAAAACGATTTCCATGCATGCTGCCTTCTTTTGCCCATGGCTCTGAAGATTACACCTTGAACTGTCAGACTATCTCGTCAACTTGACTCCTGGTCCCATTTTCTACCTGATTTCTTACCAAATTCCATTTTGTCTATCCACTCTAGTCTCTGATTTCTCTACCACCCACTTCCATGGCTGAGTCTTCTCTGCCCACTACCAAATCACCTCTCTCAAGCCTGAAAGACCCTTCTTATGAAGTTACTTACTGGCTTTCACCGCCAAACTTCTTGGGAAGAATCAGCTACACTAACTGTTTTCAATATTTTTAAAACTTCCCATCCATTCATTAATCTATTCCAGTCAGTCACAGGTCTGCAGCAGATACGAGTCCCAGCAAGGCCATCCTCTACCCAGTGTGCGATGGCTCTCTCTGCTGTGCAAAACATAGCACCACTCCCTTCTCTGAGACTCAGCCCATGTTCCCCTCCTACCTCTAGATAACTCCCTATTGCTACCTTCCATCTTTTCCTTTGCTCATCTTCGGAATCAGAATTCTTAGTCCTAAACAATCAGTGGACCTGTGACAGCTTTAAAATTCTGCACATTACTTTGCATACATCTGCATTTTCTAAATACTGGTACATGATTTTATCAGACTCTACTGCACCTTTCTCATTTCATGGTTTCAGCACACAGTGAGAGCTGGTATCTCTCAAACCCCAACATCTCCAGTTTCCCTACTTCCCAAGCCCAGATCTACACTTCCATTTGCCTACTGAACACTTCCAGGAAGACATGTGGACTTTGTAGATTCCATGTGCTAAACACCCAGTTCAACACTGTGAGCCTGAAATCTGTTCCACCTCTGAGGTAACACACTAGGCATTTCAGTGTTATCCTTGATGGTTCCTTCCTCCTCTCATATTAAATTAGTAGTTGGTGCCAATTTTCTTTCTTTGTCTTCAAAAGGCCATGAATAATTTGGTTCTAAGTCTGTCTGCTCCTCCCTGCCCTCTAGTTTCGGCTTCCCTACTTCTGACTGGGATGACTGTCACTATTTATTCTAGGATTTCTAGAATTTCCAGATTCTAACCACATTGTTTTTTTTTTTAAATCAAGATTTTGTTATAGGTTTCTGAAATAATAGACCTTTTGTACTTCTATGTTTTTATTATTTTTTTTCTGCAACAAGCATGTACTGTTTTTATTATAAAAGCATTTACATTATTGGGAAGGACTTGATAGATTTCATCTTGTTAATCTTAGCTGAACAGTCTCCCAATTAAGGCTTTTCACAGTACCTTTCCTGGCTACCCCACCCTGTGCTGGGAGCTCAGTTTCGTGCCTTTCAAAAGACCAATTCCAACATGGCCTCTCACAGAGACTTCCTCAAATTCCTCCAAATTAAGACTTTTTTTCTGTCCCTCTCTGTGACTCAGAGGATATTTGCTAGGCTAGGAGCACCCCATGCGTGTGCCTTTCCTTCCTGTCCCTGTGGTCTGGGACATTGCTTGGTTTATATCAGACACTCCTGGATGTTTGATGGATGGATGGTGGCTGGGTGGAAAGGCTGATAAGTATGTGAATAATCCACAAATAAAGTTAGTAAATTTGAAGGCTTAAAAACGTGCTGACAGAGAATGTACTCATCTAGAACCATGGCCACGCTGAGCTACCCTTTGCTGTTTACTCTCTCCTTTACAGAAAGTTTTCAAGCTCGGCAAAGGCAGCATAACATTCAATTCTGATACTGTCTTTTACTGATTGTCTTTTGGTGACTGGCAGAATAAACAGAAGGAACCATTTTAATTCTCTGAAGGGTACAGTGCTTTGTTAAGTAGTATTAAGATGCTGCAAGTTTAGGATCTGCACAGTAACCCAGTCATGACTCGAATTCAATAAGCAGTTTGTGCCAAATGCCAGCAAACTGCAGGCTATCCATACCAAGGTGCTATTAAACAACAGGATTTTCTTCTCCAGGCTTCTATAAGTATTATTACTTACATAGCTCTTCTTCTCAAAGACTATTCAGCTTAGTGAAAATGTTTCACTCTAGTTTGTTTGCTCAGCTGTGCCTTATATCCTTTATTCTTACATTCAAAATTTTTATCCTGTTTGTTTTTTACATTAATATCCTGCTCCAATCCCCAGGCAGAAAGAGGAAGGTTAGTGAAACTAGTTATACTCCTATCCCCAAACCATGGCCTCATTCCCATGGTTACACTCAAAACAAATGCTCTCAGAGTTTCTTGATCAATGCGTTTATTGGAGAAATGAATTTTTTTCTTTCCCCCAGCAGATCATAGAGGGGTCTTCCTGAGTTACCTGACATGTAGCCAGGCCACTAAAGATTCATAGTTTCAATGACTATCAAGTGCCTATTCTGTTCTATGTACTATTTCAGGAGCTAAAGTACTAAATAAAGCAAGTTAAAAACATCAGATAGTCTAACAAATAAATTCACTTCACAGAACCAGAACCAGAAGTGAACAGGACTCCACCCAAATGAAACACCTAAGAACAGCAGTTATACAAAAGTGAGGTTGCAGACTGCTGGAATGGTTCGAGTGGTAAGAGCACCTGCCTAACAAGTGCAACCCTGAGTTCAGATCCCAGTGCAGCCAAAAAACAAACAAATAAACAAACAAACAAAATGAGGTGGTACACACTCTTGGTATAGCCTCTTGGAAAACCTCTTTGGTACTTCTCCAAAGGCTAAATTTGTTGTCAGATGTCCAGCAATTCCTCCCGTAAGTATATAGCCAGGATAAATGAAAACATACACTCAGAGAAAAATGGATACTCAAATATTCACAGCAACATTATTTATAATAGCCAAAAACTGGACACAACCCAGATGCCCACCAACTGATCAATGGATAAATAAAATGTGGCATATCCATACACTGGAACATTATTTGGTAAAAAAATGAAGGAAATACAGACACATGGGTGTGACCACTAAAAACAGTGCTAAGTGAAAGAAGCCAGACACAAATGCTGCATATTGCATAATTCCATTTACATGGTTAGGTCAGAATAGGCAAATCTACAAGGACAGAAAAAGTAGATTAGTGGTCACCTAGGTCTGGGAGGTGGGTGAACTGGGAGTAAATGAAGACTTGATTAATAATGGGTCATGGGGCTTCTTTTGAGGAGATAAAGTTCTAAAATTGTGGTATGCTTAACAACTCTGCTTAGTAAACACCAATGAGGTGTGTGTTTCAGGTAGGTGAATGTGAGTGTTACGTAAATTGTATCTCAAGAAAAGTATTATTTAAAAAAGGGAGGCTGGCAGGCCAAGAAAACATCTTCAAAGGCATCAAGAATATTCCCAACATCTTCATTCATCAACGTATCTTTGGTTAGTCAGAAACAGAAATGGGGGGTGCTTCTAGATTCTAAATGTATTCACTCAACACTGGCTGTCCTGAATATGTGCTAGAGAAGCTGGTGAAGTAAAAACGAGGAAGAGATATTTCAAAATGCAGAAACAAGTCAGCCTGTTCACGCACGTCCCCCCTTACCTTTTTCCTCCATATCCTTCTGAAAAAATGTCTTTTCTGGAATGGAATGCTGGGTACTGGAGAAGTACAAGGTACAAAAATGGTGCTGACCTCAACCTACAACCCACCTACTCTGCTGACTCCGACTCCTCCACTTTACAGTTGCTCCCAGGGCATCTTGCTTTTCCTATAAGACATCTCCTGTGACCATCCCCAGCATCTGAACCTTGTTTACTAAAACTGTGCCTAGAGATTCTCAAAGCAGACTGCATAACTTACAGCCAACACATGACTTGGACTTGAGCACCTTGCTTATTCCTTGCTTACACACCTGAAAACTGAAAATTGTTCCAAACAATACTGCTGCTTTTGGAGGGCTGGGTTTTTTTTTTTTTTTTTAAATTATGGTAAATATAATATAAAACTTCACCACTTTCAAGCAGACAGTTTGGTAGCTTAAATACATTCACACTGCTGTACAACTGTCATCCCCATTCATATTCAGAACATTTTCATTATCCTAATTGAAACTCTGCTCCCATTAAACACGAGCTCCTCATTCCTTTCTACCCTGGCAACCACCATGCTACTTTTTGTCTTTATTTGACAATTCTACAATACTACTCTTTTTATGGGGGAGTCTGGGGGGTGGTACTGGGGTTTGTGCTTGCTATGCAGATGCTCTCCCACTTGATACCACCCTTTTTGATCTCTCAATATTTCTACAAACAGCATAAAATTTCAGGCAAATTTTTCAAGTGAACTTTTCAATAATTACGTAACTGAGAGAGGGCAAGCATAACTGAGATTTGGATTTTTAAAAGCAATTTTTTGTTAGCTGAGCATAGTGGCATATGCCTGGAATCCCAGCATTTGGGAGGGAGGTGGAGGCAGAAGGATCATGAGTTTGAGCCCAGCTTCAGGTATACAGTGATACTTTGCCTCAAAAAACACAAAAGCTAACTGGCTAAATAAACAAAGAGTAACTTTTTGTTATGAGGCAAAGAATTTGTTAACTCTTAATTATTACTGTCCACAGGTTTTCAACCTGTGATTGGTATGGTACAGAATAAGACAGGTATCTGAATGTTAGGGACCCCCAGGAAATGTGGCTTTTGCAGTTTACAAGTACTCTAATGTATTGCCAATACTCATGGGGCTACCCTCTGTATTTTACTGCATACATACTACACTTCAAAAAGTTGTTAAAAAATAAAACAAACTAGCGACCAGTGTATTTCAACAGTGACATTCCCCCAGGCCTGCCTGGTGCCTCCCTCATCTCACCTTCTTGCAAGGCCATACTTACCCTTTCCTACCTTCCCTCTCTGCTGGTGTCACCACCACCCAAAGATGCAATGTGTGATGAGGAAAAGCAAGGACTTGAGCATCACTAAGGTGGTGGTACTCACTTCATCAGTTTCTGCTTTGTGGCAGAATCTTTGAAGCTTCTGAACTCTTCTCCTGCTTTGATCTCATAGAACTGGGGCTTCAGGACTGTCTGCTGGTCCTCCTTCAGTTGTTGCTGCCGCTTCACTTTTTCTTCCTGTTGAAGAAGTCTACGCTGCTTCCGGACCTCTTCGACCCAGCCTTTCTCATCATCTGAACTCTCTGAACTTTCTGCATCACTTGCTTTTCCTTCCAGTTCTTCCTCCTCTTCCTGAAAGTAAACATAGTAAGAAGTGCCCCTTACCCCCAACCAAACACTGACCCATTACTTTCTTTTAAGTAGCATTAGCCCAGAGCCTAGAGTAGGTGCCAGCTGCTCCATGTATGCATAAGAAGAAATGCCTTTAATTAAGTAAAATAAACTACTAGCTGAATGTCAGACATTTAGTATGCAACTTATTACCTCTCAAGTATAATCAAAGGCTTTCCAATTTACATGGAAAACTCTGTATTAAAGAAATAGCAGATAGCTCTGAATGATAAAGAACACATTACCTTTTCACGAAGTTCTTGTTCCTCTAAGAGTCTTAGTTTCTTCTTCCTTTTCTCACTGATTTTTGAAACAAGTGGGTTCAAAAGCCTAAATTCTTCACTTTCCTCATCTACCTGGAAGTCAGGGTTCTCAAACATAACTTTAAATCGATCATCAGTGAGAATATTAGGAAGGCTCTATAAGAAAAAGAAGAAAAAGTATGTAAAAACTGAAGTTATAGCTGAATAAAATCTGACCAAAAAGATGGCTTACATTCACTCTGTAATAAATTTATAAGCTCCAGAAGGCATAAACTATTAACTCATTGTAAAATTTCTTTAGAACTGGTTTGCAGAATTTCTAGTTGATCCTAGGTTTTATCTCCCAAATACATAATCTTTTGAACATGGCTTTTAGAGCATGGCCAATATATTAGATGAAAATTATGTGAGTCTTTTAGCTTCCTATTCTAAAACTAGAAGAGGAAGTACACAGCAGCAGTAAGTTGTCAATTTACATGGTGGATGTGGAGGTGTTGTCAGGGAGTTTACTGACTCCAGTGGAGTTATCCGGACATACAGGATGCTTCCATTCCTTGTAAGAGTAGCTTCATAGTCCTCTTCCCTAGACCACTTACTTGGTCTCAAAGGATAAAGCATGTTCTTCACATGACAAATTTTTGGCTACTCATACCCAATTTGGATAGCTCAGGACTGACACTAAATTCCTTTTCAGTTGCACTATTTTTAAACAGAAAGTTTCCTAAGATGCAAAATAAGCTTATCTGTCCTTACATGTAGGCTCTCTTTTTGTGCCTTATCTGTAAGCTGGAGGCCTGGAAGTCAGATAAAACAACCTCCCTCAGGAATGGTTTATAAGTCAGATTGAACAGCAGGGTCAGAGCTGGAAAAGGTCAGCTTGTTTGTGACAGACTGTAGCCTTACTGAACAGACTTTTTTTTCCCTACTGTCTGATTCTCCACTATTGAGAATAAATAGGTTGCAAACAGTTGGGTTCTGAACACGGTATTTAACAGATTCACACAAAAAGTCTGAAATCTTAAGACATTAAAGATGATGACCTGTTTATTACTTATATGTACCTAAAAATTGATAAATCCTGACCTAAAGTTCCACAAAATATTGAATTCAACAAGTTTTCCCTGATTAAATATCATGCCCAGGACAGGCTTAGCCCCAAGAGAGTAACAAAGAAAAGATCTAGTTCCCTGGACTAGAGATGTGGTTCAAGTGGTAGAGTGCCTGCCTAGCAAGTGTGAGGCCCTGAATTCAAGCCTTAGTCCTACTCCCCATCAAAAAATAATCTAGTTCCTGACCCCAGTCTCATAAGTAAGGAAGAAAACTGCAAAGAGGTTTGCTACAAGGCACCATGTGAAGGATACACGACAGACATGAAGGTGCTCAGAGAGGTAAGTAATTCCAACAAGAACACCCCAGAATGGTTCCTAGGCATGTGACATCTGCGAGGAAGCTGGAAAGACAAGAAGGCTTCAACAGGTAGAAATGTGAACAGTGAGAATTTCAGCTGGCTGAGAAGTACATAATCTGATGATATAAGCCTGGCACAATTTGTACAGGGTTTTAAACATCAAGGTTGGGAGGAACCACTACAGAGAGATAGTAAACAGAAGGATGTTTCAGGGATCTCAGCTGACAAATAAAACTAAGCTCTAGAGTCTAGCAGCAGCTTGGTGTATGGTGGGCTGCTGAGGGACAAACAACAGTCCCCAGAAAGACTCAGAGGCCACTCGGGTGATGTGGAAAGAGGCAGGGCCTGGATTAGGGCACTAGGAATAAAAGGTAGGGCAGATACTATTTAGTGAAGAATTATTATGAGATACATTTCTAAACTAGGATGATGAGATGCAAATATGGATAAGATGGGAGGGTTAAGGATTAAAGACAGGGTAAGAATTGGCTCTCCAATGTCCATTTGGTGATAGAATGAGCTAGGTCCTGTCACTGGAGCAGTAGACTGAGTAAGTGTGATATGAGAGACCATCATCTGGATTTGGGTGTCTAGAAGCAAGGCCTTGGACAAGGATTTAGGAGATGAGAAGGCACTACGAGGTAAATTTTAGAGCTATCTATAAACGTGCAATAGATGACACTGTAATGATCCTAGTATTTTCAAGTTTAAATATTTTCCTGAGGGATTTTGCCTAGTCTAAGTGTTTGTTTGAAGAGTTGTCTTTGAAATATGGCTAAGTTGGTGCTGTTCTTGTACAAGTGTCTGGCTGACATGCTCTGTAAAAACATACATCAATGCTCAACACTTACTGTGAAAATTTGAAAAATACCTGAAAGTCCTGCTCATACAAAAACCCTACCTTAAGGAATAAACCGTAGATCTGAGTAGGTGCTTATTATTAATATTCTGTCCCCAAAGAGCAACATATCAGGAATGCTGCCACTAGGATGCAAGTTCTGTAGCCTTCCGTTTCCCAGGGGAAGAGGAAGAGCGGAGGGCCTGGCTGAGGCCAGCACTGTGCCAGGGAGGGAAGCATGCCAGTGACAGGAGAGGAAATGAAGGATGGCATCTGAGACTGAGGGGCCCTTTGTCCCCACGGTCCCTCAGGCTCTTGCAGTGTCAGTTCTTAGGATGCTGCCACCAGGCTTTCACCTTTCCAGCAGGAGGATCTGACTGGGACCTACGATCTGCTCAAATAATCAGCTCAAGAGGGAAAAATGTTTGTCTCAGAAAAAGTGAAAATGACATGGGGGAGGGGAGGAGGAAGAGGACAACGGAACACTTCCAACAGAACATGAGAAACAGTTTTTAAACTATGCATAGATAGCTGTATTTAAAAAAAAAACACAAAAATTTTAGTTGGTATTAAAACTGCTTTAAAAATAACATTTTGGATGTTAAACCTACCTGATTCACCTTAGAATATCTGTACATAATCATAGCTTCTCCTGAGAGAGATGAATTGTTGTCGAACATATTCTTTGTGGTACTTACTAACTCCTAAGTTCATTAAAGATACCCTATAAACAGTTTTCCAGCTCCAGCACACACATGGTCTAGAGATCTTGGCCACAGCCCTACTAAACTGCTGCAGAACCCAAGAAAAGTGCAGTCACACAAGACTTTCTGGCAACAACAAAAAATTGGCCAAAAGGCTAACTTGCAGAAAATGATACTTGTAGGAAAAATGGCTCTATACACACTCAAACCCTTACAAAGCAAATGGGTAACAGGCGCCATGCCTCTCAAAGCTGCTTGTGTATACAAGGAGCTCAATATGTATTTGCTGAAAGAAAAAGTAATTAATTCTTAATCAGCATCAATACTACCAAGTTTCTTAACTTGCATAACATAAGGATAATGCTCTTACTGACACTACGTGGTGGGTCACTTCCCCTTTGTGGGCTCAATAACTGAACAGTAAACAGCCTATTAGAATTTTATTATGTTATCAGAGGTAGCAGTATTTGGGAGCACATTGCTCTGTCTGCCTCCATTAAATTCCATTGCAACCAAAGCAGAACACCACTGCACTTTCAAATCAGCAGACAGCAGGCTAGCAAAGCTCTGGAGGGTCTGAAGAGCTCAGTTCAAAGGAAGAGGAATGACCTGGTGAAAGATTAGCAATTCTTTCAAGCATTCTCTAGAATTATAATGAAGGATTCTTTCCTTCATTTGTGAGTGATTTTAAGGTCTTCATTTTATGTAAGATAAAAACTGTTAAACAATATATTACATAAACTGTTTCTGAGAATAGCCAAAGATTTCTGAAAGACCATATCCTGTGTGAGTATTTCAAGAATGAAACTGAGCTCTGATAATGTGCCTCATTTGGATTGGCAAGTCAATAAAAAGCACATTTTATAAATACTGCTTTATAGAAGAATTTTATTACCAGGAGATATGTCTACAAAGACAGTACTTCTAGCTACCAGCAGTCAGGAAGAAGAAGCTGCTCTTTGATGGAAGAGGGTTAACATTTTCTAAGGTTCGCTTCTCCTAGCACTTGCAGCAGAAACAGTACACAGTTTTGTAATTACATATAAGATGTTCCTCAAATAACTTGGTTCTAAAATAAACAAATGTCATCTTGACTTCAAGTAGCAAAATTGAGCCTGACTCTTACTGTGGAAGTTCCTGGGCATGTAAATACAAAGATCACTTCCACTTAGCTTCTAAAACGACATTATGAAGCTGAGAATCTGGAACAGATTTCACTGAAGGTAACATTCCAGCAAGTCTTTTATTCACCTAGTGTTCACAGATGTATAAATAACCCCAAGTGCCCTAACAGCATGGTTCATTGACTGAATATTTGCATAACGTACAAACACTTGTACCTAAAGATACACCCAGCTGACATTTCACAAACATTGATAATTAAGAGAGAACTAGACAACAGAGTAACTAGGACTCTAGATCCAAAGTCAGAGGACAAAGTGAAGTGATCGTCTTGAAATAAATGAGGAATGTGGTTGTGACAAAAGAAGTAAAATGTCCCAGTGGGAGTGATGCTGGCAAAACCTTTCACATTAACAGGAGCTCTCCGGAGAGACTTCATTATATTGACAGGGAAAGGATGAAACTATGGAAGCCCATTCAAATTCAGGAAAGTATGACAATTTGCTAAGGCAAAGGAAAATGCTGGCTCTGTATTCACAGCACAGGGTGAGAAGAAAATAAACACTGCTCAAATAAGGTAAGTGTTTTGTTTTTTAATTTTACAAAAAAAATACTCGAATGTTTTGAATAACAGTATACTACATAGGCCCCAGTTTTCCTATTTTTTTTTCTCTAGACATTTATAATGGACAATAAAAGAATTTCTAAATTAGGAACAACGGTGACTTTTTCCACTGACGATGAGGAGCGCTTTGTGCGTTTCCATCTTTCAAGGTTGTTTCTAGCATCTTGGGCTAGAAACAAAAATCTCCCCTAGAAAATAGGGGCAGGAGGCTGTCTTCTGCATCTTTATAATCATGGGGCCTCAAGAAAAGGGCCTGCTCTACCATGTTGCACAAAATGGCAAAATTAAATTTTAGTGCAAGTGTCCCACCCTCTAGAACATTAAGTCATGCTGAGGACTCGTGAGCATAAAATGTGCATGGAATGCGTAAAACTCCCTCTCTACTCTCTTCCTGTACAAGCTTACGGGAAAATAAATACAAAAAGCATTTCCACTTAGCTTGTCAAATGACATTATGAAGCCAAAAAGTTACCCTGCAAGCATCCTCAGGCTTGGCTAAAATTGGTGAGAATGCTCTGAGGAGAAAGTCAGCAGACCAAGCAGGAAGCACTTCCATTCTAATTCTTCAAGGTGACATATACACTTCCATATACTGGTGTTGATTAGGAAGGTACACAGACACAGTACAAAGATAAACTTAAACATGAGTAAGTGTAAACCACAATTCAACAATGATAGATTTTTATGTCATGAAAAAGGAAACATAAAAACCACCTATCTACTTACTTAAGTTTCCAAAAATTAAGATTTAAATAATACATTAAAAAAAATATTAGTTGGGGATGAGGCTAAGGAAGAGAGGCCAGTGAGAGAGAGCAGAGTCTGAATTCATGCAGAAATCACAGTATAAGAATGTCTATCCATCCTCTGCAGGTTACAGAGGAAAAGACAGTGACCTGGGAAACTGAGGGAACCACCTAATAGCAAGCAACCAGGGAACGAGATGGCCAGAAATCAGACCCTGCAGTGAAATGCCTGGACTCTGATGAAGAGGAGCGTAAAACTGAGATAAGCACTAGCCTTTATGTATTTATGACTGATATGTTATATCAGAAAAGGAAGGCAGGTGGCAATGACATGTCAGCCTGCATACTTCTCATAATGCCACATCTTAATCAAAATCAGTTACTCTAGAGTTAAACACAAACCTAGGTAGTACAAACAAAGCAACAAATTACATAAATCTTTAACAATAAAGGAAGTAAGTATAACAAATTCATAAGACAGAATATGCAGCCATCAAAAACATTTACAAAGAATTTGTAACAAAATGAGAAACCACCTGTATTATTTTACAGACCCAGCATAACTATTTTAACATTTCTTGCTAGCATAGCTTATAATTTTAAGAGAAATAAGACAGAAAGGGAATGACTAAAATGTTAAGGATGAAGTTCTCTGGGTAGAACAATTATATGGACAAGCTTTCCTCTTAAGATTTTTTTCTATTTTCCAAACTTCCCATAATGAGCAAATATTATCTTACAAGCAAGCAAGCAAGGAAAAGAAAAACTCCAAAACCCAAAAACAAAACAAACAACAATCCTTCAGGATTTTTTTTTTTTTCTTTCTGTACTGGAGTTTGAAGGGTACAACTTGAGCTCCTCCTTCCCTCAGATCTCCCGTAAAGTACTTTTAAAGTAAAAAAAAAAAAAAAAAAAAAAAAAGAAAGAACAATTACTACCCAGAAAATGTAGAAATAACTTAGCAATATTTTCTCTACCTTAGGCACTCTTACCTTAACTTTCTTTTTCCATGCAGATTTTTGCTTCTCTTCTTCTTCTTCAATTAGTTTAAGGGCCAGCTCTTTGTTAACTTTTGGCAATTTCTAGTAAAGAAGGAAAAAACAAGTTGTTCTAAGATATCTACATTTTAACATTAAAGGTTAATAGTTCTGTAAGGAAACAATGTGGACCCAATGTGCCATCAGGTGGGCCACAAGGCATAAAAATGGCAACCTTGACCTCCTGCTGGGAACATGCCCTCCCCACACCTCTTCCCAGTGGGCTGGGAAGCAAGGTGTGTTTGGCTTACACCAGCCAGAAAGGGCCTATGACCCTCCCTTTCAACAGGAGGTCAGCAGATCCAGAACTGAAACCTCTGGCAGGAGGTGTGGGGAACTGCTAAGAGGCTGCTGATAATGCTCACTGCACTGTTTACTGCTCCCGACATGGCAAACTGCTAGAGAGAATTCCAGATTTGAGTCTGACAACTCAGGCAACACAACAAGCTATCCGTCCTCTTCCATAGTAATTAAGTAAAATACAACCCTGACAAATATAGCGAAGAGCTTGGGCAAAAGACCTCCACATCCCAGTCTCTCCTGTCAAAACACACACACACACACACACACACACACACACACACACACACATACACACACACACTAGTTGCTCTTTAAAATTCTGAGCAAATAGTCTGCAAAATGGAGAACGATTGAAGTAATTTGTAAAAAGTTACTGGCCTTTTGTACTAAAAGAAAAAATATATATAGTACATTACAAATATTTAAAATATTTTTTAAACCAATGTTCAGTGATAAATATTTGTATCACTCAGTGATTGAACTTAATGGACAGGACGCCAGAGAGACTGGAAGGCAGGAGCAGGCAGACAGGCAGCTCCTCCCTGTCTGCTCAGCGTCTGGGCTGGCATTGCACACCAACTGTTCTTCACGATGGTAGCAACAGGTGGCTCCAGCAGTAAAGGTGGACGCTGGTTTGCAGTTTCCAACATGCCCAGGACCATCCTCGTTATGCCTCAGAAGTGTCAGCCTGCGGCCCCTCCTCAGAAATCTGGGTCCTCCTCACAGGCCCTCTTCTTTCATCTTACCCTAAGGTGGCAGCTGCTTCGTGCAGTTACAATTCCCTTGTCCACACCTCAAGGTTTTGCCTTTTGAGAGCGCCAGTACCTGGATGACAGTCATCTACACAAAACGCTAACAACTTAACCATGCTGTTTGTTTCCTGATAGTCTAGTGACCATTCCTATGAACTAGAGAGCCTGAGAACGTGCACAAGTCAATAAGAAATGAGGATTAGCAGAGCTCTAATATTCATCAAACTGAAAACCCATCTGACAATGGCCATCAGATTTTTCTCTGGGCTGGTGATAACATCAGTCATTCTAGATTATTTCCAACAACACTTTACCATCCGCCCTCACAAACAAAATACACAAAAACGTAAGTAAAGACGTGAATTAAAGATGAAAAACCATGAAGAGAAAGGCACGTCTATTGGGAATAATACACAAAATGAAAATTTACTATTTTTCACTGGTAAATTCAATGATGAATACAATATTTACCTTTAATTGGACTCTCTGTGCACGTGTTTCTTCTATCTTCTGTCTAATTTTATCTTTCCTATATTCTTCATAAGCAAATGGATTTACCATCAACTTCACCTTTTCAAAATAAAAAATATAAAATTAAATAAGAACTAGTATTTAGGAGCATGTCTCATATATATCATAACTAGTATGCCAAAGGGAAGATCCCTTATCCCAAGTAGTCTTAGGCAAGTGTAAGTAGAGAAGAAACAGCTAGGCTGTTCACCAGTCTCTAACTGTAGTTTTGTATTTACCTTGTGGTAGAGTCTAATATCCATGAAAAATCCATGCATATATGCCCGGAGAAAAGGTGATCCAATGAGATGTGTGAGCCCTGGGAAAGTTAACCAGAAAGAAGGCAGGAACTTATGAACTCTTGATGAAAACTTAAGTTTTCTTGGACAACAATTTGATTATAATAAAATTTCATTTCAGAGAAAAATCTGAGAATTGAAATTACTACTCTTGAATACCTATGGAAAAATTTAATCCATTTCATTAAAATATCATCCTTATTTTAAATGTCATATTAAATATAAAATTGACAATGAAAAAGTCTTTATGAGAACTATGACAAACTGATAAAAGAGGTTCCTCACACTATGGTTCTTAGACCCTGCAATTCCATAAACCAGTTCTGTTCTAAAAGTAATACTGGGGACCAACAGTAGATTGCCAACTTTCCACTGCCAACAGGAGATGGGAAGGGGAGGTAAGAGGAGGAACATTGTCTGCCATGATTTTCAAAGACCAAGGGACAATACTGCGACAATAGCACAGAAACAACAGTCTTCCCAAGAAGGACAGCTGGCAAATTTACCCCCATATGTACAAGCATACTGGTACACATCCAGACCTACATTACTGGGCTGGGGATGGTGCAGGTCAGTGGTACAGTGCTTGCCTAACATATGCAAGGTCTTGAGCTTGATCCCCAGTACCACAAAAACCAAAAACAAACAACAACAAAAGACTTACATTATTGCTGGGTGTGGTGGCACATGCCTGTAATTAGAATTACTTGGGAGGTGGAGATCAGGAAGATCTTGTTTTGAGGCCAGCCCAGACAAAAAGATAGCAAGATCCCATTTCAACAAACAAGCTGGGCATGCGCCTGTGGTCCCAGGCCGGCCCCACGCAAAGATGAGACTCTGTCATAAAAACAACTCAAAGCAAAAAGGACTGGGAGTATAACCCAAGTGGCAGAGCACAAGCCTAGCAAGCGTGAGGCCCTGAGTTTAAACCCCAGCACTGAAAGACAAACAAAAGAACTTGCTCAGTTAATCTAATTGTTACAGGATTCTATTCCTTTAATATTCACTGCTGTTGTACATCTATTTGTTGCAAAGACAACTAAGCTACTCAGACTTGTGGAGTGTGGATCCTCTGTGAGCTTCCTCTTAGTAATTTGCTATGTAGCCCTCTGCGAACAATAGAACAAGATGAGCAAAACCTACTCAAGCAAGTGCTGGCTGAGTGGGATAAACATGCTGTCTGAAGGCTGGTGCGACTCAGGCAAAGGCATGGCCCCCAGGTTTAAGTCCCAACTCTCAAGTCACTACCACTGAGGCCTATGTCAAGTTACTTTCCCTTTTCTGTGCCTCAGTTTCCTTACCTATGACATGGAATCATAAAAGTGCCCACTCCATCGGTTATAAGGATTAAATGGTGATATGTAAAATGCTTATAATGTTGCCAGTAAGCTTTATAAAGTGTTTGTTGTTCCTAGAACATATTTCTTGGGTTTGCGACTTCTTTATGTAAAGTAATATAGGTTGAATATCCCTTATCTGAAATGCTTGGGACAGTTAGTATTTCAGATTTCAGAGTTTTTCAGATTTGTAATATCTGCAGAGACTTTATTGGTTGCTACAGTTTGTATCTTGAGTTTGCCCTAAGTCCAAGTGTTAAAGGCTTCGTTCCCCCAGAAGTCCTTTAAAAAAATTTTTTTTTAAAATGTTTTTGGCAGCACTGGGGCTGAACCACGTCCCCAGCCGGCCCTCTCCTCTTGCCCATTGTGATGTGTCTCCTGTGCTCCGCCACAAGGGACTGCCTCATCACAGGCCTAAAACCACTGGTCTGTCTGAGCATGGACTGTGACCTCTAAAACCGAGTCAAAACAACCCTTTCCTCTGTGTGAGTTGATTAACTCAGACATTTGCTATAGTGATGGAAAGCTGACTAACACACCAGTTGAACACACCTATCTGAAACTTTTGGATTTGGGAACGCTTTAGATTTCAGATCAGAATGCCCAGCCTGTATTAAGGATCTTCATTATTTGAAGATTTCAGTTCTACATTTGGATTAGTTATGAATAAGTTTACAATGGAACCAGGAGTTATTTACCTGCAATCACAGAGACATTTTCAAAACACTATTATACCCACACTTACTATATTTTTAAAAACTTGTTATACTTAAAGAGTACTTGAAAAAAATCACTGTTTTCCTGACACTTTTTTTTTTTCTAGACATAGCTAGTATACTAAGAGAAACTATTTCTTATTTCAGGTACAGAAAGGCTTTAGCAGACTGAATTTACCTAAACCTTTCGCTAAGCAGAGATTACAAATTAGGACAATTTATAGTATGTTTAATATCTGATTTGGCAGAAAGGAAATACTTGGAATTAACTGATGGCTCAATTCTAATGTTCAAAATTCAAAACAAAAAGTGGAAATAAAGTTAATTTTATAAACATTTTATCATAATTTTTTTACCTAAATTTTCAAGATCTTTCTTAGTGACAAATTTGTAATCATCATAAACTGTGCTCTCTGGGTTCTCTTCTAATTCTTCTGTCAAGTTGTCCAAGAAGGAACACCACCTGGGAGCGGGCCCCAAAACCTGTGGGTGTTTATTAACAGGTTAGGAAATGTACATCCTCACTGTGTCACTAACATTTATTTTACAACCAGAGTTCCTGAAGTATAATTTTTAAATCCTTGTTTCAATTAGAATCACTGAAAAACAACTGTAACAGGTATAATGAACAAGCATATAATGAAAAAAGAATAAAGTAGAAAGAGTTTAGGCTTGTAAGGTGGGAAAACCTTACTTCATCTGGGATACAAAGATATTAATGAATGTTCTTACATTAGGACCATCAAAATACAGATAAATAATCCCAGGTACTTACAATAGCTTCCATCCATTCACTCAATACTCACACCACTCAATGTAGTATTAGAACTCCCCCAAAGCATATTTGGTACACAAGTTTCTTTTTTTTTAATTTGTTGACCATAACGTAAAAAAATCTAAAATGAGAATTACATTCTTTCAAGATTTTTCAACTAATTACTTGATCATTCCATTCCATTATGTATGATCTGCTTCATTTAATTCATTCTCAATCAAAGTTCTTGACTATAGTAAATAACAATGTGTTGCAATCTTAAAAATTGCTGAGTTTGCTGGGCACTGATGGCTCAAGCCTGTAATCCTAGCTGTTTGGAAGGCAGAAATCAGCAGGATCGTGGTTCAAGGCCAGCTTGGGTAAATAGTTCATGAGACCCTGTCTCAAAAACACACAACACAAAAAAGATGGCTGGTAGAGTGGCTAAAGTGGTAGAAGGTCTGCCTAGCAAGTGTGAGGCACTGAGTTCAATTCCCAGTTTCACCAAAAAAAAAAAAAAAAAAAAAAAAAAAATTGCTGCGTTTAAGGGATTTTAAGTGTTATCACAAAAAAAGTGTGAGGCAATTCATGTTGATTAGCTCATTTTAACTGTACCACAATTTACAGTATACCTTTCAAAATATGTTGTACATGATTAATATGCGCATATTAACAGTTCTGTCGATTAAATTATTTAATTTACATTTTATTCCATACACAGAATACAGACTTAACCTAAAACAGGTGGCCAGTAACCACAAGTTATCCCAATGAAAGGCTGAGGAATAAAAGACTGAACAGAATTGGGAATCAATTAACAAGATGTGAATAATTAAGTTCATAATCCCACTGTTTCCATAAAACACTGTGATTGCTGGTACATTTTTACTACTGATACACATCTGTTCCAACACTAGGCCTCACCCAACGAGATCAGTGCTTATTTCTAGGGAAATCTACTCCCTCTGGGGAAGACATGCTACGACAGAGGAATATGGGGTTCAGACAAAATGGAACTTCCAATGATGATTTGCCTGTTTATTTCAGTAATAATTAATTATGTAGGAAAAAAACCTAAGTCATAGTCAAAATTATTAAATCTAGTTTAAGCTTTTTGGAGAATGGCAGATCGGAGGAAGAGAGTTATGACAAAGGAAACAGCCCCTGATAACACCCTGTGCAGTTAAAGAAGAAAGGAGATGTAGATATGGCCATGATAATTTTAGACACATTTTTTGTATGATTAGAAGGGTGGGCCCCTGCCCCTGCCACCACAAAAGCAAAGAGGCTCATGAATGTGAAAAACAAGTTTTGATGAGTATAGGAGCTTTACAGAGAAGTTTCACATCAGTGCAATCTGTAATTTTTTTTTTTTAAATAGTGGCTTGATACCAACCATAAAAGATAAACCTTAAAGAAGGGTAAGGCATTTTAAAAAATTCCATTCAGAACACTTTGTTTAAAGTAATTTTAGGGCAGTAGCTTGAAATCAGCAAATGTTTATATTCAGTGTTCCTACACAGAAAGCAATGTTTTACCAAAGACACTGACAGTGGTCCTCCTGAAGTTTAAAATCTAGCTGCAGCAGAAAGGCATGTGTACATGTGTATATGTGCTTGTACACACACACACAGTCACATAATGCATGAACTGAGATTGCACTGAGTCCAAAGGGAGATGTGAAAGGACTTAATGTAGAATGAACACATGTGTAAGCTAGGAAACCAACAGGGTGTTTTCTGAGAGTGAAAACTTAGGCATTTGCAACTTTAGGGGTACCTACTTCCAGTCATCATAAACCTGCAGGAGCAGAGCTCTCGCAGATAAAGGTGCACTGCCTAAGAGAGAATTCTTTTAACAGAACAAAAGTATGATATTATCATTTCTAGAATATAAGACCCAAGATACTGTTGTCTTCTTGGAAAGTGAGAACTTTATAGTTTTGTTAAGTGCTGAATTGTCAGTACCTAGAATGGTGCCTTCCACGTGATAGGTGTTATTTCAACAAATGTGATAAATAAACCTTCTTATACACAAAGCACATATGAACTTCAGGCACACAGATACTAAAATTTAAAAGATCTTCTTTGGCAAAAGTATTTTCAAAATGGCCTATTTTTCTTATCTGGGTAAAACCATTCACATATCTCACCATAAAACTAGTGGATATAAGAACACATTGTAGTGAAAACTAGGACCTATTTTGACATGCAGGGGAGTCCCAAGGGACCTCAAAATAAAAGTACAGTTATCCCTTGGTATTTTTGGGAGATTGGTTCTAAGACCTTGTAGACACCTAAATATGTGGCTGCTCAAGCCCTTTATATAAAATGTGTAGTATTTGTTTATAACCTGTACACATCCTCCTATTGACTTTAAATCATATCTAAGGGCTGAGGATGTAGTGCAGAGGCAAAACATTAGCCTAGTGTATCTTAGGCCCTGGGCTCGCTCACCAGCACAGCGTAAATCATCTCTAGATTATTTATCTAATACAATACAGATGCTACGTGAATAGTTGTCATGTTTCTTAGAGAATAGCGACAAGAAAAGTTTGTACATGTTCAGTACATATTCATCTTTGTTCTTATATTTTCAATCTGTAGTTGACTGGACCTGCAGATAAGAAGAGCCTGGTGTAGTGTTACCTTTAAGGCAGTCCTGAACACCAACCACAAAGACAATGAAAACCTTTTATATTGTGTCCTGACTTCTCTTGGGGATGATGGGTAGGAATATCAAAATATTAGACTGATCTGAACTTACTTTCACAAAGTAATCTTTCATAATACCCCACAATATTCTTTTTAATTAGTTATCTGGGTTTTAATGGAATTATCTAAAAGTGCCTCTCAGGAGACAGGTCTAGTTATGGTAAATGATCTCTGCAATCAGATTCATGGCCATGAAATTTTATAGGCGGAAATATTTCCATCAAAACAAAATTAAATGTAGTGTTTGACTTTACTAATCACATGTCCTCAGTTCCTTTTCAGAGAGAAAACATCAGAACCACCCTACCCAAGTGGAAACTACTGATTTACACTGGAATTAGCTACAGATTTTATCCACATCAGAGCTTTCCTCAGAGGCCCACCACTCAGCTGCAAAAACAGCTGTCACTGTAACCAACAAGGAGGATTAACTCTCTCTGATGTACTTACAGGGGCAGCTCATTAATGTGCAAAACACCCTAGCTTTTTTCATAGGCATAAAATGTAAACACCAACAAATCTTGTAAAAAATATATATTTGCTTCCTAAATTTTGAATTTTACAACTTGAGGAAAACGTATTTTTGACCACTGATGGCTGATTACTACATCAAATGTTCCAGGTTTTCTGGGCTGGGGATATGGGTCATGGGCAGGGCATGTGCTTAAAAGGTCCCGATTCCCAACACCCCGAAGAGAAAAAACAAATACAAGAAAAAAGTATAGCTTCATGTTTTCTGTATGTCATCAGATTGCTATATATTCTACACACTAGCTTATTTATACACCTTTTCACACACCTTACGAATTTTACTGTAGAAAACTGGCTAAGGCTGCTCCATTTTAAAGTTCTGTTATCTGTTTCTGCTTTTAATTCATAGGAATTTCCTAAAGCCACAGATCAGTAAAAGTAGAAAACGGATTCATCAGATTGCTAAAAGGAGCTTAATGACAATCCCATCACCCAATCTCAATACAAATATTTGGTCTTCCAAAATATGAAAATCAAACATGGCTCTGAGAAGTCCTCAGCTCACATGCAGCCAAGTATGTGCTTGCTAATCTACTCAGGCAGAAGAACCAATTTTAAAGCACATAAAGTAAACCAGCAGCCCCAGTCTATCATCTGCTTTGGTGACAACATCTGATCTTTAAGATGGTAGCTAGAGATACTTAGTTTTAAACTCAAATTCTCCTATGTTCTTGTTATGGACAAGAGCAGTTAGAAGTAAGAAAAAGGATGAGTATTAAAATTCTTAGTAAGTTGACAGACAAAATACTCCCCTCCCCCATTCAACTTTTGTAAAGTCACTGGGTCACATCCCAAAGCTGAGCTGAGGCACACACATACACAAAAGACTGAGGATTAATGGATAGGTGGCCTTAACAGATCGAGGTGATGAAAACAAAACACTATTGGTATTATAGACAAATAACCAAAATGTACCAACTCAGTATAAATGCCACATTTTTTCTACTTCTAATGCTTCGAAAAGTCACTATTTTACCTATTAATATGAAAGACAGGAAAATAGTTGATAATACAGAATGATTAATGAACTTGAAATTATTATCTTGGGTTTTCAACTATTGATTTAAAAGACAATTTAAAATAGTTTGCCAACTGAGAAAATTCTTAACTACCTTTCTCTTTTTTTAGTGGCACCTTAGTGCCACTAAAAAACTCAGGGCTTACTAGACAGGAGCTCCATGGTTCTAGTGCTTTTTGCCCTAGTTACTTTTCAGATTGGGTCTTTTTGGTCAGGCAGGCCTGGACTGTGATTCTCCCACCTACATAGCCTGTGTAGCTGCGGTGACAGGCGTGTACTGCCACACTCAGCTTTTTTTGTTGAGATGGGGATCTCACTAATTTTTTGCCTGAGCTGGACTTGAACCACAGTCCTTGTGATTTCTGCTTCCTAAGAATCTGGGGATTACAGCAGTAGGCCACCTTGTCTGATCAAGAAAATTTTCTCTTCCAATTTTTCTTCCATTATTGCTTGAAAGGCTCACCGG